GCGGCAACAACGGACAAGTAAACAAATACATGTGCACGGGACGGCGTGCACATGTAAGGTCAGAGCAGAGCTCGTCCTTACAGTGTGTGCCAGCAGTATGTACACGCCTACATTTTATTGAACACAATATTGAACGAGGGCAACAAACAATGTTAAAGCTATGTACAAAGGGCAGGTAGTCGCAGTCAGCGACTTTGTGGCGCCGGCTGCACTTCTTACGTTAAAGTTGCCAAAGAAGTAGGTCCTGGGCAATTTGAGTGAGGGCAGCGCCTGGCACTGGCCGGCAAACCAGCGGCGCGTGTTGCCCTCACTGTCGCGGGCCACAATGCAAATCTCAGCCGTGTTTAGTTTTGCCTCGCCCTGTGGCAACAGCTCTGCAATAGGTATTTGAGCCGTGCGTTGGTTGTAGGCATAGTCAGCCTGGTGCAGCACCTCGTTGCTGCTGCTGCGTATATACACTTTAAAGTCGGCCACATCCGCTATGGCCGACACAAACCAGCGCAATGTCAGATTTCCCGCCTTGTTGCTGCAAGCCAAATGGACCAGGATTAATATACGAATATACGAAGGCTGGAAGCTTTATAGTAATACATACGTTTGGACCTCGCGGAAACGCACATCGGTCAGCTGTTCGTACTCCATGCCGGCATAAAGCGTTAACTCATCTTCTCTGCAGTTTAAATACTCATCGTCCATGTTCAGCAGATACTGATCCTTCGCCAGGCTGGGCGTCTGGCAGAGCACGCTGCTCAGATCATCGCCAGGTAATGTCTGCTCCAGCATAAAGTGCTTGAGCGGTCGTACATTGCAGCCGCAGTACAGTGGATTGTTGGCCAGCAACACCTGACTGCCATTGCGCATGGTGGCCACCAGCGGGGCTGGTATATCCTCCAGACTATTGTGCCTCAGGTCAACGTGCTTCAACGAGTGCGTCTTCACCAGATTGGCAAAGGGCAAATGATACAGTTGATTGTACGACACATCCAGGCTACTCAGATTCTTGGGCAGATCGAAAATATGTTCCTCGGACATTAGATTGGACAGCTCGTTATGCGACAGGTCCAGCGATTGCAGGGACGTAAAGTTGGATATGACGCCGCGACGCAGCTCATTGATTTGATTGTGGGAGACATTCAGTTTAAGCAGCTTCTTGGTGCCAAAGGTAATATCATAGGTGAGCACAGGCATTTGATTGTAGCTCAGATCCAAGTACTTCAGATTGTAGGGTATATACTGATGCGATGGAAAGGTTTTCTTGGTCACAAAACTAATACGATTGTGACTCAAATTTAGCGTCTCCAGACTGAGCAAATCATCCAGCACACCATTCGTCTTATTGTCCAGTTTGGAAAGCGCGTTGTACGACAAGTCGAGCGTGCGCAGCGAGGGCAATCCAATGAATATATCATTGGGCAGCTGTTGCAGGCCATTCATCGACAGATTCAGCGTGAGCAACTGCAGCAGACCCTCGAACGCACGTTTACTAAAATTAGATAGTACATTAATAAACATGTGTGTGGACTGCAATCGGTGGAGCACTCACCTAATGTCGGAGACCTGATTGCCGTAGAGATTGAGTTCAAACAAAACGGGCAGCTTGCCAAATGCACTGCGCTCCAATACGCTTATATTGTTGTTCTGCAAGAAAAAATATTTACTTAATTAGCGGATAAATATTTAAAATAATAGACGATAGAAATGATTGTTAAATATACCACATAAAACTGAATTAATTCGGCATAAAATTGCCTTTAAGGCAAAACATAGGCTGTTTCAATAAATAATTTGCTTGCTGATTAAAGAGTGGCGAGGTGTTTCCTAATTGGGTGTTAATTGGAGCAGAAGCTTTCGAATATATAGTTAATTGGCTATATTTTATATAATACAATTAGCCAATATTGACCTTGAGCCAACCAGCTTAATATTTGTACAAAATGCATGCAACGAAAAATCTTGATAAATCATAAAATTAATCATTCGTCAAACCGGTTATAAATTCGTGATAAACAAATATGAAAACAAGATTTAAAAACTTTAGGCAACATAAACAAAAATGGTATTAGAAATGGTTGATCTATAAGAAACTAGTTTGAGCCTTTTAGGTTCCGTTTTAAGATTCGGTTTCATGCAACTTTAGTTTAGTATATAAAGAGATCTTTATACTCTCCCCAAATAGAACTCTTAAGTCCCACCATACTTACTTCCAAGTGCAGATATTGCAGTGTGGACATAACTGCGACCGCCTCCATTGGCGGCTTGCTGATACCGTTGGCCTGCAGCATGAGCCGCTGCACCACCAGCAAGCCCGTAAAGCTCTGTCCATCCAGGTTATCCCCAATTTGATTATAGCTGAGATCCAAGTATATTAGGGAATTCATCACAGGCCAGGTGCCCGCCGGGATGGAGCTAATGTTGTTATGGCTCAAATATAGTTCGTTCAACGAAATTGGCAGCTGAAACAACTTTTCCAGGATATTGTTGTTTAAACAGAGCTGCCGCAAGCTTGTTAGCTTGGCCAGCGATCCGCGGACTATGGAAGTCAGCTTGTTGTGGCTCAGATCCATCTCTAACAATGTTGGTAATGTGCCAAATGTAGAAGATCTTATCTCCTGCATGCTATTGTGGCTCAGATTGATGGAGCGCAGCGAAAAAAGTGTTTGAAAAACGCCATTGAATATTACGGATATATTGTTATACGACACATCGATAGTATGCAGCTCATATAGTTTGGGGAAACAGTTTTTTGGTATTTCCGTGATGCTATTGTGTGAAGCATTCAGCACGCGCAGCCCAGACATGTTCTGAATGGGTATCTGAAAAGCAAAAGCTGTTATTATTAATAATATTTTAACTAAAAAGTAACTTACATGAGCCAGATTAGTAAGACCATTAAAGCTAAGCTGGAACTCGGAGGCGAAGGTCGTCTCATCGAAGCTGCGACGCGAAAAGTTCACGAGACGGTTATGGGACAGATCTAGAATGGTAATATTAACGCAATTCTCGAAGGCAGCGGTTTCAATTAGCTCCAAGGCATTGTGGGATATATTGATTACGGCCTGGTAAATGTCCTTAAACGAGTTCTTCTCAATTTTAGTTATATTGTTCTCCGCCAAATCCAGCAGCTGCACAGATAAAAAGCTTATTATTCAATTCTTTATAAGTCATGGCCTTTACATACCTCAACATAATTCATTTGCGTGAACATTTGATACTCAATCTTTTTTAGCTTGTTGCGCGCCAGGTCAATTGTGCCGATGCGCGCCACAGAACCAAATGTGGCACGTCCCACTTCTGTGATGGCATTGTCGCTTAGGTAGAGGCGACGCAGGAAACGCATTCCTCGAAAACTATTTGCGTCCAGTTTGCCAATGTTGTTGTGTGACAGATGAAGGACCTTCAGCACCGAGTTCCTGGCAAAGGTGCCACGGCTCAGTTCGTTTAAGGCGTTGTGCGAAACATTGCACCAGCCAAGCTTTGTCAGATCTGCAATATGTTGGGCCTCCAATTTCTTGATTTTATTAAAGCTTATATCCAGCAGTTCCAGTTCGCGCAGATTCTTAAATTGATTCCGTTTAAGGTTCTCCAGTTGATTTCCGTGCAAGTCCAACGTTTTCAGCTTGCGCAGCGGTTGGAATGTCTCCACAGGCAAGTCACTCAGGAGTCCATTTGTAAGCCGAATCGTTTCGAGCTTGTTGCTGATGTCTTGACCGAGAAACAGATCTTTGGGCAGTTGCTTGAACGCATGCCCATCGATTACCAATTGACGGGTCTTGCCCAATATCTGGTGAATCAATAATATATATACAGTATATGAATATGGCAGTTTCCAGTTCTCCTAACTAGGAAATTATCTGCTCGAATACTTACGCCAATTCCCAACTGACCAACTTGACTTAGATTCGTGCGCAGCAAATTAAGCTGCTCCAATGTATTGTTCATGCCATAAAATACATAGTCCTCAATGGTGGCAAGAGGCGTCTCCTCAATGGTCAGCACACGCGCCTTAATGTGGGCGAAAAGCGGTCCGAAAAGCCGCACTAAAATATTCACAATAAAATATAAATTGTAACTACAAAAAGGAAAAGCGATTACGCACCAAAGTGTCCTTTATATATGGTCAGCTCCTCCACGGGCAGCTCCAGGGACGCCAAGTTCTGCAAGGCCACGGAAAGCGTGGCCAAATTCGTGTTCTCGCAGCGCACATAAACTCCAGTATCGCTGCCTTTTACGCACAGGCAGGGATATAAGACCTGGGGTCTGTGCATTGGTTAATGAAATATAAATAATATACAAAAATGAATGCTCCATAGGAACTCACTTTTTGGGACATTTGAATTCTGGTTCGCCATAAACGTATTCAGTGCTAACCAATGCGAATAAGTGCAGCAGTAAGAAAACAACTGTGCGCAGGCGTAGCTGAATCATGATCCACTTTTGAATTTGTTAACTTGTTTAACTTGTGGCTCTGTCGTCACCGATTCGATTTGGCCATGGCAAAAGTAAGTTTGTTTCTTAAGTCTATTGTTTGTCCAACGTACTAAAACGGGCTTCTATAGCTGCTCCGGCTCTGCGTTTAATCTATTTAAAAGCAGAAATTAATTATATTTGTTGCCATAAATGTTAATATAATTGTTTTTTTTTTTTTTACTTCATTTTCTCACTTTTACTTTTAAGCTGCGCTCGCGCAACAGGTTCCGCTTGTCTTTCTCTCCGTTTCGCTACTGGCCATTGTCTTCAGCTGCCTTTGTTGTTAATATGCGTCGAGGCCAGTTGCCAATGCACTGGCCCTTGAACATTTTGCAAATCGAACGAACCTAACATTAATGAATAATTGGAATATGTAGATTTGCCTTAAGTATTTAACTTAATCATTTTATTATTAGGCAGGTGTATTTACTTAACGACGCGCCACTTTATTTTAACCAGGTTGGCAGTGCTGTGGCTGCCACTGTGACGATGAGCTTATCGATAAGCCAAACATGCAACTCTATTCAGACAGCGACAGCGGTGCAAAAGCAAATCAACGCGCTAAATAAAAAATTATTGTCCGGTTATTAAGTATTTTATTGCACATTTCGAAGCGAAAACGTAGGTATTTCGTGTTGGTAATGTATTTGAATATTTTTCCGTTTTAAACAAGAGCAAAAATTAGGCTTTTGTAAATTGAAGAAAGTGGACATTGTTCACGTTTTGTTCTTTGACGACGGGGAGAAATACTGACTTCGCCCGATTCAGCCGCCAGCGCGCAAATAGCCAATGACTGCTCGCACTACTCACACACACACAGAATCGGACTAAAAATCAGTATACGTACACGTCTGTTTGCGTGTGTATTAGTGCCCAGGGAGAACGCGAGTTATTTGCTGCCACCCGTTTTATTGGCGGCAAAAAGTGCGTAATTCCAGTTGGAATACACTAACTAATCAAAACATTTGGTTTATTTAATTAGATTTTTGGAATAAAATGAGTTACGCTGCGGACGTCCTAAATGCTGCCCATCTCGAGCTGCACGGCGGTGGCGACGCTGAGCTGCGCCGACCGTTTGACCCAACTGCCCACGACTTGGATGCATCTTTTCGCCTGACACGTTTCGCGGACCTGAAAGGACGTGGCTGTAAAGTGCCCCAAGAAGTCCTGTCAAAGCTCGTATCGGCCCTGCAGCAAGACTACTCCGCTCAAGATCAGGAGCCGCAGTTTCTTAACGTGGCCATACCCCGCATTGGCATTGGACTCGATTGTGCCGTTATACCACTGCGTCACGGCGGCCTTTGCCTGGTGCAGACCACGGACTTCTTTTATCCGATTGTCGACGATCCCTACATGATGGGCAAAATTGCATGTGCGAATGTGCTCAGCGATCTGTATGCCATGGGCGTAACCGATTGTGACAATATGCTTATGCTGTTGGCCGTAAGCACCAAGATGACGGAAAAGGAGCGCGATGTTGTCATACCACTGATAATGCGAGGCTTCAAGGACTCAGCTTTGGAGGCAGGCACCACCGTCACCGGCGGCCAGAGCGTTGTCAATCCCTGGTGCACCATCGGCGGCGTTGCCTCAACCATATGCCAGCCAAACGAGTACATTGTGCCGGACAATGCTGTTGTTGGAGACGTTCTGGTGCTGACGAAGCCATTGGGCACTCAGGTGGCTGTGAATGCGCATCAGTGGATCGACCAGCCCGAACGTTGGAACCGCATCAAACTGGTCGTCTCCGAAGAGGATGTGCGAAAGGCATATCATCGTGCCATGAACTCTATGTCGCGCCTTAACCGAGTAGCCGCTCGTCTTATGCACAAGTACAACGCCCATGGAGCAACCGATATAACAGGCTTCGGCCTGTTGGGCCATGCACAAACTCTGGCCGCCCACCAGAAGAAGGATGTGTCCTTTGTTATTCACAATCTTCCAGTCATAGCCAAAATGGCGGCTGTGGCCAAGGCCTGTGGCAATATGTTCCAGTTACTGCAGGGACATTCCGCGGAAACATCCGGTGGCTTGCTCATCTGCTTGCCCCGGGAACAAGCCGCTGCCTATTGTAAAGACATTGAGAAGCAGGAGGGCTACCAGGCCTGGATCATTGGCATTGTGGAGAAGGGCAACAAGACGGCACGCATCATTGATAAGCCGCGCGTCATCGAGGTGCCCGCCAAGGACTAAATGTTTTCCCTATACATAAGCACAGTAATTTTTAAAACTGAATACACGCTCTCAGTTGTAACGCTTTTATGAGTGAACTAAGTTACCGTTTTTTGTAAAGAAAAAGCTTGACTAATTGCATTAACTACAATTTTGATCTTTTATAAAAACCCATGGACACTGCTAAGAATAATACGAATAAATAAAAGAACACTTGACTTTTGTCTTGATTAAATACAAAGCACCCGCATTCTATTAAAAATTTAGCCGCCAAAAACCAAAAGCTTTTCGTAAACTGCGCAGAAAAAAGCTTTGCGTGCGACCAGTTTGAGAGATGGTCAACACCATCAATGGATGCTCTCTGAGCGATTGCTGAGCAGCGAACAACGGGTTCGGTCCACGGTTCATTACGTGAAATGCGAGCGAATGACGTCACACTTTCAGACGTTTGTATATGAACCCCGCTTGCCATATACAAATTAACGGACTTTATACTCGAACGAACTTTGCTACATTTACATTTAATGGCTTTTAAAATTTAAATCTCGCTGCAATTAGGAAAATAGTTTTCTGCACTTCAAGTTGGAAATGTTACATTTAAGGTTAAATTCGACTGTTGAAGAGAGAGAGAGAGAGAGGGAGAGAAGCGCATGCCAAAACGTAACCTATAGATCAGACAACTGGGCGTCCGATCTGTTTCGATCGTGCTCTGCTCGTGGCAAGTGCAAAATTGAAGCCACAGTACTGCACAAACCAGCGAGGCGCGTACGCGTATAGAAAGCAAAGCTGTTCCGTTACCGTTACGTTTTGTAGTAGACACACGAATACACACTAACAAACCAAAAACACTCACACACAAACGAATTTCTAAGACTAACGCGCCCGCGCATTGTAGCAATTTTCTTTTGGCTGAACACTGAACCCGCCGCCGTTGCCAGCAACAACAACGACAACAACAACAGCAACAACTACAACTACAGCTGCAGCAACAATTACGGGACAACAGTCTGCACCAATCATTTTGGGTTTTGGAAAAGTGCACAGTGAGTGCTAGTGCTAGTGAATGACATAGTAAGATTGCATGAATGTGTGTACCGAATGTATGTATGTAAGAGTGAATGTTTGTGTGTGTGTGTGTATCTATGGAATCTAGCTATCTCTTGAACTGGCAGACAAGCTTAAACAACAAACTGATGACGGCGACAAACGCACATAGAAACGAGTTTTAGTTTTCCCTACGTATCCCACTGATACTCATTTGTATGGGTAGACGTATCTTTTAGCTTGTGGTAGCTGTGTCTATTGTGTGTATGCGCTCCACGCTCGTGATTGGGGCAGCAAAGAGAAATTTAAATTGTGTTCAATAAAAATACGCATTGAATTGCATCCGCATCCTCTGGCTAACCCGTTACCTATGTACATACATACATACATACATATGTATTTATATATCCCTTGCGATGATTCATTTGCGGTGCGCACTCGCTTTATAATTTGAATCAAGAGCAACAAAAACAGTATTTCGAATTGAAAGCCAAAAGAACAGTGGCAGTGAACTATTTATAGAATTATTTGTTTTCATACATAAATACATACATATGTACATACGTGAAAACCAACAACAAATTGTACAGCAAAAGGCGAAAGTCGGCAATGAAGGCGACGACGACAACGTAGCCTATTCATTTTCATTGTATGCTGGTCAGTCGTAAAATCAGCCAAAAAAAAAAAACTAGATGAAGAAGAATTATAACGAAATAACGAGCATCTTTGCGTAGTATATTCAGACGTAAAATTTCAATTTAAATTAGCCAAGTTCAAACGGTGTCTACAGCTTGTTTATGCTACATACTAATATACATACATTTACATTTATATATGTATGTATATGTATTTGTGTATTGACTAGATTGAACTGTGCTCTACTGCGTAGGTGGCAGAGGAGGCGGCAGCGGCGTCACCAGCGCCACACAAATTGGCAACCCAGCACAGGCGCTAGAATACACACACACACACACGCATATGTTCTACGCCTTTTCGCCTACGTTTTCAATTTGATTTTCGGAAATTTGAACAACAACAACACAAACACCTTAGCTTTGCTCTTTTCGGCCAGTTCAAGCTTGTTCGCTTGCTATTTTGTTTATTTTATGTTTGCTCGTTCTTACATACAGTTATATACATATATATAAACACATGTATGAGTATACATGTGTGTCAGTGTGTGTGTATGTACATATGCATATAGATCTTGGCCGCTGGCATTTTGCGAGTCGCTGCTTCCCCCGGCCCCCGCCTTTACGTCACGCCCACTCCAATGCCAGACAGCAGCAGTAGCAGCAGCAGCGGCAACATGTTCCCACTTTTTGTCTCTCGTTCCGATTATATGAGATCATTTTGAACTGTAAAACAACAACAAGAGCAATATGCAAAAACAAACACACGCATCACACGCTTCGACTTGCGCTCTCGGTGACCAGTTTTGTTATTGCTTTGAAAAAAAATACACATTTTTGTTTTTAATTTTGAAATTTAGCCCATAGCGCCACTAAAAAACGTGCTGTGTGTGATCCGAGCGTCAATTAGATTTAGCCTTTATATTATGATGTTTTTTTTTTATGTGTGCACATATTTTGCTTACGTTAGCTGCTTGATTAGCTTGACTCTTGACCATATGGCGGCGGCAGGCGCGCAGAACATCACGAGTATTTCGCCCAAGCAACTAGCTACTCATTTGATTTGAGTTTGATTTGTCGTGATTTATTTTAGTTACGTGCAGTCAGTCGAATATTTGTTTATGTCTCGGATGATGTCATCTTCGGTCATCCTTGTGTTTGCCATACGAATCTTTTGCATCTGCTATTCTCTCACATGCGCCTCATACAAAGTCATTCATTGAAATCTCACTCAAGGTTATCGCCAAATCACTAAAAAAAAAAACATAAAATAAAACTCATCAACTCAGTAGTCGGAGAACGAGCGCATATACAGGTTTGTGGGGGATTGTTGTGATCCGACGAAAAAGGAACTAAGGACACGTTAAAAGTGAAAACCAGTTTGACATTGACTTTGCTACAGCTTATGCATATGCATGTGTGCATGTGTGCATGTGTGCATGTATGTGTGTGTCGTCAGCTCTGAAAATCAATGCCATTATATTTTTGCGAATGTGACGTCATAATGCTGCATGGCCTTGGTATTTGAGCGTCGGACTCGGAAGCGGCCGGTCGCTGGTTCAAATCAAGTCTCAATTTGTGACTGCCTTAAGTTGGCACATTTTCGACACGGGCAATGCCGGGTTATTCCCTTTGTCTTTAATCTGTGTATAGATAAATATCAGAAATCCCTAATCAATTTGGCTAATTAAGAACTAAATACTGGGTATCTTAGTGTCATGCATGCCCTACTTCTTGTTTATTTGCCTAATTTAGTCCGCTTCGTTTTGTATCTTTGTGTTTTCTTGGTGCTATTGACAGATAATCTTCACAAGTGTTGACCACTTTAAACGACTTAAGCTCCATTAATGCGCCAAAAATATCACCTTAGAATGCGAGCTGTTCTGGAAACGACGCACCATTTCTGTACATATTGAAAAGATACGTGGGTGTTGTATATAGAAATGTTTGAAATTCTTATGAACTGCGAAACAACCTGTCAGCCCGAAGCCGTTTACGTTTACAGCTACACCTACGCTAGCTTGAATTTATGTACAGACCATGACTAAAATAGTACTTACTCATGCATAATGTAAATTTAAATATTTTCTGAATATTTTCGGTTGATGTCATATTCCAGCAGAAAACAATAATTGGAAATGCAGTACTCGAGCAGCTCGGAAAATTACTCATCCTCGTTGAGAGATACGCCCTCGAAATGGAACGGACGTGTAAGTGAAAGCTATTTAAATTTTGCATTTCTGATTTTAAAACGATCTCAAATCCATCCGCAGAACGACAAGAATTATGCGTACAAGAAATCATCGTATCAATACTCTAGCTCGGCCGATAACAATGCAACCTATCAAGGCAAGGGCGCCGATCAAAACGTCGATCAGTTGGACGCACTGCTCGAGGACTTGAAGCAGGAACGTCAACTTACCCACAGAGAGCGTGACATCTTGCCGACTGGCACCAGCTACAGAACCCTGTAAGTTGACAATGAATATGGATTACTTCTATATACAAAACTGTTTGTCCTGGCAGACTGATTGGTAATAAGAGCTAATAACCAGAAATTATCAGTGCAATTACCTTAAATGATGACGGTGCACGTTAAGGCGGGGTTTTGGAAAAGTCTAAAGACCATCCGATCGGCCTCAAAGATCTTTGTTCAAATTAATTTGAGGAATCTTGTCGAAAATCCATTCCTCCTTGGTGAAAATGAGATTTGGTGGGTGACGTTTCGCTCTCACTTTCATTTCTAAGGATTTAAATGAAAAATCATTTGAGACATTTGTTACACTTTTTCCTAGCCTCCTCGCTAGAAATGCTATTCAAAGTTTTTAGCTTGCATACATGTATATGCTTGTACATACATGTATACATGCTTGTTTTGTATACATGCAGACAAGCATGCATGCGTTCGTGTATGAATGCATGTCCGGATATCTACAAACATGCACACACACCCATACAAACATACATATGCACATACATACACATGCACATACATACACATGCACATACATACACATGCACATACATACACATGCACATGCATACACATGCACATACATACACATGCACATACAGACACATGCACATACATACACATGCACACATACACATATGCACATATATACATATGCACATACATACACATGTATATACATAGATACATATGTGCACAAATACATATGTACGTACATATATATATGTACGTACATATATATATATATATATATATATATATATATACATACATATGCACGTACATATGTACATGTACATACGTACATATACACATACATATAAATCACCAAAAAAAATCACCAAAAAAAAAATGCACTGCACTACTGGCTAAGCATGGAAAACTGCAGAGCCTACTTAAATTTTTGAGAATCGAGGAGGAGAGCACTTGGTAGAAATTCGTTTTATTTAAATTTGCACAGCGACAAATAGGCTTGGCCTGCGTTTGGTGTTAGACAACAAACATGCAGGCATACATATATACATAAATGCATACATACATACTAACACACACGCCCACACCCACACACACACACTCATATATATATATATATATATATATATATATATATATATAGTACTTATATTAAATTATTCTTAAAAGTATTTAATCGTACGCGAATTCTGTTTGATTTATTTGTGAATGTGTATGCTGTGCTTTTGCAGTGATAAACGAGATTGCAATATTATATGTATGTAATTCATTCTTCCTTATCTAAAAAGTATTTAAACAAATTCAATGGAACACACTTAAGGTTCCAAATCTTAAACGGTTAAAGTCTCTTTAAACAAGTGTAATCAGCAAAAAAAAAAAAAAAAGAAAATCAACAATAGTTAGCAAAATGTTATTCTTTTTCCCAGCGAACGCACGGATCCGTCAGGCACCGTCACGAAGACTACGCGGGTGATCAAGACCACGAAGCATTCAGGTGGACAGCAGCCCTTCAGCGATGATGTCGAGACCTTTAACCCAACCGACTATAGCACCTTGCAGTCGACGGCCAAGTACTCCAGCTTTCAGGACAACTTAAAGCGTGACGAGTTTCTGGCTAAGGAGAAGCCATATACATTGGGTAAGTCATATATAGTAAATTTCAATAGCCATTAGATTGAAGCTTAACTGACTTTTACTTCCTTCACAGCCCACTCGCCAGGTGGTCACTACTCGAGTAAGACCAAAATCTACGAGAGCAATCGCACGCTCAACAACAATGTGGAGCTGGTGCCAAGCGTGAACAGTACGCAGACGGTGACCAACAGTGTGAACATTGACAAGGAGCTGCAGGACATTGCGCTAAGCGACGGCATATTGCCCGCACCGGGCACCAAGGTGACCACCACTGTGCGCACCTACACCTATGAAATACCATCGACTGGTCCCGGTAGCGCCACCAGCACCATCAATCGGACGAGCAGCAACAACAATACACTGAGCAGCAGCTATAAGCACCACGAAACACTCAACTCTAGCCAGAACTATACACAGTTGTCGCCGTCGCATGTGCCCCAGACAGTTGTCTATAACACGGAGAGCTACTCGACACTGAACAAACCTAACGATCGCCCGTTGGTGAGCAACCAGTCGTACGAGATTCGGGAGCACAAGGAGACGACCACGCGCTGCTTGAGCCCGCAGCCACGTCAGCTGCCGCTGGGACCCGCAATCAGCCCCAGTGGCGGTACGCCCAACACCGGTAACCGCACCATTATCTACAACATACACAAGACCGACAACGTGGTCAACGAGCAGCGTTATCCGCACAGTCCGGCTCATAGCCCCAACTATGGTTCACCGCAAAGTCCTGCACAGCCGCAGTTGCCACCTGGTGGCACCAATCGCTATTATTTCAAGGAGACCGAGACTTCAAATACCGTCAATACCATACACGGCCCACCCAATGGAGGCCCTGCGTATCCTGTGGAGCCATCGCATCCGGCGCCACTCAAGCAGCTGCCGAGCACAAACTATCCGCAGCCCCAGAACGGCAATGGCTATCCACCGAACACTAGTTATACGTATAAATACTCTTCCACAACGAATACAAACAATCGCCGTGGACCTGGCCCAGACTATGGCACACCCTCGCCCTTCCCCGTCGACGGTGTGGAGTATCCAGTCGGTAATGGCAATCCGCCGCAGCGTGTGGACGATCTAATGCAATCGTTTGGCACTGTAAGTAGAAAGTTTGGATATTATTTTAAAAGTTTTTGTTAAAGAGCTTCTCATTTATATACCCTCAGACGGATCATGTGGACCGTGTGGACATTGAGACGCCGGTTCGCAAGCGCGAGATTGAGACGGCAGTTGCCTCGCCACAGCAGCAGCATGTGCCCTCCGTCAACAAGGCCGGCAAGGAAGTCTATTATCCACCTGGTCACGACACGATCATCACCAGGCGCGAGGAAATGCATGCAGGCTCCGCGGGTGGTGTAAGTGTTTCCAAATCTCTGCACAAATTAAAGCATACTTATATATTCTTTTTGTCTTTTAGGGTCGCTGGGCTAAGGGCTCGGGCATGTACGAGTATGAGTCTGGCTCGAAGTCAAAGACGAAAAGCAAATCCGGCGGCGCTGTGGTGCCCCTGTGCCTGCCCCTTTGCTGTGCCATGCCATGCTCTATAATGTGAAAAGGAGTGCGCATTGCAACGTCTACTACTTGTATATAGGATTCTAATATTGCCGTTACTAGGTCTAACGCTAATTCCTGCCCCCTACGTACAGCTTGTCGTTGATATTATTTTGTTTATCTAACCAATTTTCGGTTCGCTTCTCTAATTGTTGTAATTTGTTGACCAAATTGATATATCTATTATAATACCTATTGTTTGTATATATATATTTCATATCCAGGCATTGTCCCAGTTTGTTGGATTTGGTATTAGTTGAACCTAACCTAGTTTGCTCCAAATTATTTGCTCACGATCTAAAAGAAAAACAAAAGCATTTATATTACAACGTGACCAGTGAAAACCCGAACAGGCCCCTTAAGGTCTGCATATTTTTAAGTTTTTATTTGAAAGCCAATTGTTTTAACTGTATTTTTTTGCATACCAAACTAATAAATGAGCCACGGAATCTAATTCCCCCACTCGCCATAATCATACAAATATATGTGTGTTTCCCGCTCCCCTCGAATATTATCTACTAATCGGCGGTCATTCGGCTGCCCAAAAACATAAACTGTAACCCAGACTTAAAAGGTAACATTGTCGTTACAAAGCCATAAATATTTTCTAATAAACGTACGCATAAAAATCAAAGTAACCTTAATAAAAACGAAATTTAACCAACGAAACGATATGTTAAATCTTTAATTGGACTTATGGGCTGGTTTTTGTTGTTGTTGGAGATTGATAATTAGTTATTATTATTATTCTTTGCAAGCTCGGGAGCTGAATTTCAATTATCAAACAAAGTGAGCTTTTTTCAAAAATAGATTTCTTAATTGAATTTACGAAATTATTATTATTTTTTTGATTATGATAACAGGCGCAACAACTCAAGACTGTTAATATAGTAAAAGTTTTATTCTGGTATAGTAAAATGTATTTTATAATAAGTGTTACATTTGGTATTGTATATTAAAGTATGGTAGATAATAATCAACACCCTTGCAGAGGCTGATATAATTCGAGAGTAGTTTTTTTTGTTTAAAGCCATTTAAGCTGCGCCAGTTATCCAGTTGTTGATATTTGGATCGGATTACTAAATGGAGCTGCCATTGGAGTACTCAGTCAAATAAAAGTTGTCTTTGATATTTCAAAATTTATACTTAAGATTAGTATATCAGACCAATACTCTGCAGGTCATCTGCAAGGGTATGTTGAAGTTTCGGCATGCCGAAGTTCATATATTTTCATTTTTCTTTTAATTATCGTTTTGATCGAATAACAATTTGTATATCACAAAAGTAATATCTACATTTCACCTTGTAGGAATTGGTGTAGAATTTTTGTCTTGTTTTTTTATAGAGAGATTCATAATAAAATTAGAAGGAAGAAACAAAAATCAACAAAATCTATATATTCGCTAGAATATATAGAATATATTATAAATGGGGCTAGCAGTACTACTAAAGTACATATGTATTTCTATATTGACTGGACACGCTACGTACACAATAATTGTGTGTCTATTATTCGAGATAATTAGGCTACTTTGAAAAAGTAATGTTGTCATTTGTACATACACATAAGTAAATATTGCACGAAATTGAGATTCGCGTTTGCAACTTTGTCTTTAGAGAAGTTCGAGAACAAACTGCTCGGTCTGTGTCTGTCTGTCTGTCTGTGTGTTTGGCTAACTCTTTCGCTCGGAATTCTTTAGCTCAGCTAAGTACCAAGTAAAGGTCGGGAATTCTTTGATGCTGTAGATCTCATATTTAATCGAATTGATGCCATCCATTTCAATTTTACCGATACCATTCTGCAGATTTTCATAGCTACAAATAGAAAAACAAAGTTAATATCGCAAAGTTATGCATTAAAGGCAATCACACTGCACCGTTTTGGATTTGCTTTTTCTTTCTGATGTTTCAACATTTTATAGCGAGCTATATTTATTGGGTAACGTGATATGAATAGGTTCGCGTGTTTCAATCTGCAAAGTAATTATTATGCATATACATTTATTCATATTCATATTATCAATGTACTACCTGTTGGACATATCGTCGTCCTCGCCACCCCAGCCAAAGAAAGAATTCGAAAAGCCGTTTACAGCCTGGAACTGCTGTCGTGTCATGGCAGAAACTCCGCCAAATATTGAGCGATAAGGCAACCTGTTCAATGAACCAATCCAAAATTAATCAAAATTGACATCTATGGAGATTGCAACAACATACTTGAAGTTCAGCGTGTCAATTGCAACGGACATGTGCCGCGGTTGACGTGGACAGTTGTACAGATTGCGTTCATCCAAAGGTAAAAGGTCGACATCGTGGAATATAAAACAGTCCCACCGATAAAGCTTTAAGGCCTCCAAGTAACCAATGTTCATCATAGCCGCACGATTAAAGGGCTTGCCATTGGTTTGCTCTATAATAAATATACGATAGGCAATGCGCTGTTTCATTAGGAACGGATGTATGTTGCGTAGGAAGACCGAAAGGTGTGCGTAGCGGTCGCGGAAGGGCACAACAATGGCAACATGGTATTGGGCAATGCAATCACTTGGCTGATATGCGCCACCAGGACGCAGCAATGGGCCCAGCTCTGCCTCAATAATATCAAGAGATTCGAGTGTTGTGTTGGGCGTGATGGGTCCACCTAAATGATACGTTACTAGAATCTCAAACATATGTTTAGCTTAAGCACTTACCATCTCGGGGATCGGGATCAGTGCAGTTTTGGGTCGGATGTAATTGCGGATTGAGTGTGCTGTTTGCAAAATCTTGCGGGTGCGGGTGCGGATGCGCGTGCGGTAAGTCTTGTGGAATGGAAGTAAAGTTTGCAATCGCAATCACAGTCGTTAAGGTTGAGTTGCGTTCGTTGTGCAACTCACGCTCTTTGGATAGGGCCAAAGGAGCGGTGGGCAACTTATGCCCAGCCATGTTTGAGTTCCTCCCAATGCCACTTCCGCTGTCGTTTCTGCTGTGGATGTGTGCATATTTGTGCACACGTCGTATGCTGCAATCAGACAATTAATAAATTAATGCAAGGGTGCTAAGTAAATAGATGTTTCTCGCACTTACCTCAGCTTGCTTAGCGACGTGCTGCTGGATCCGTCCGACTCCGATGTCCACAAAAAGTTGAGCACCAGCAGGAGACATATTGCGCCGACCACAAAGCGTATGAGATTCGCTTTTGTAAATATGAACATGGTCCATCGATTGCATCATTCCTTATTCGAGTTGATTCCTATTTTTAATAGCATTTTAATATTACTGCATCGTTTTCAGCTTAAAAGTACAAATATTATTGTTCGATTCCAAATGCACCACGTTGCCGAACAGCTGATTTTGATTCGCGAAAAAAAAGCAACAACAGGGTGTTTCGTGCTCCTTGGTCCATTGGCGGCACAATTTGAAATTGGCAAAACTATACGGTTTATTTAAGAGGGGGTCCCACCTTTCTATTGGGCAAAGTCTGTTTAAAATATATAACTCGAATACAGCACTGAATGCAGCTTATGGAGAAACTCTTACTTTTATGGACAAATTTGCCTGTTTTCAGTTTTTTTTTTATTTGTACGTCTACTATTAATTATAAAAACAATTTTTAAACATGGAAACTGAAGATTTTTTACAAATTGCAATGCGTTCTATTCTGGCAGTCGTAATGGCTCATTATCCTTTATATTGACCAATTTCAATACATCATTATGTGTATACTCTATACGCAAGATCTTATCATCTCCCAAACTCGGATCAAAAAAGCCAGGTAAATCGCTCTGCAATCAAAAGTCAAATAAATATTGAGTACTGTTCGCATATAGTATAGTATTAAGAGCAGCGCACCTTTGACGATTCATACAACTGTAATGTTCCGTCTCTGACTAGGCACTGGATAGGCACTGTTACATCATGTGATGCTTCGGGCTTAAATTGCGAGCTGTCGTCGCTAACGCATCCATATATTGCTCTCTTGATGATCAGCCCCTTTCGCTTCTGCTCCTCGCTTATGATGCGATTATAGGTGCTCTGCATCAGGTGTATTGCTGCCATTGCCTCCATTTTCTTGGCGGCTAAACGCTGCTCATTCTGTCGCTTCGAGCGCTCCACTTCGATGTTTTTGCGATCGGCTTCCATGGGATCCATGATGGTCTTTTTCACGAAAAACCACGCAATTATCGGCGTCACCGAGGCATAAAAAACGGCTGCAGGCACTATTTCATCGCTTAGATGTATAGGGAACACATACGACTGATTTGAACGTATTATTCTGGAATCATAAATGGTTATTTGGCAAGCTAATTACTCTCAATACAAGCTCCACTCACTTTAATTTGAGTATGACTCCGGAAGGCACGCCAACGGAAACGGTTGCTATCACCGAGCTATATTTAGAAACTTTTTTCTCCACTCCGTATTCGCCCACAAATCCAAAAGTTCCCACTCTGCAAAATAAAAGAAATTGGTTAATACCATGACATTGTATGTTGAAAATTATGCTCCTCACTTGGTCGCTAGTTTCAGCTTCAGCTCGTTCTCCAGCATCTTTCTTGTATAGGAGAGTCCAAAGTAGACATGCGGCGTTCCTATCACAAAGGATGTGCTTATGGCATGCTGGTCGTTGGAGTGATCGATCTGCGTGGACATGGACGAATGAGGACCAGCATTGAGAGTCAGACTGCCAACGGTGTGCTTGTCAAGCTGGACAGCCAAGGTGGAAAACACGGCGGGTATTACACCATTCTCCTGGAAACTCATGTTGGTGCCGCCGTTGAGCGTCAGCTTAGGTGTAAGAGTGCGTCCACCTGTTGCCGATGCATATACAGATCTTAACTACCTAATAGACCGCATATAGCGCAGTTCTTAAGCCAATTCGCTTACCCTTAAAACCCAAAAGAAAGCCATTGCCCGCGCCGAGGCAAACCTCCATCCAGCCTTTGTTCAGAAGCCGACGGCCCGCAACCATGAATACGCCAGTGCCGGTGCCATTGGATGAATACAGATTGCCACTCATGACAATCATATCCTTGCGGGTTATGGGCGCCTCGATCGACTGCGCAATGCTCATGGATCCGATCTCCACGCGCGGCATCTCAGAGTCATCATAGGGCGTAAATATTTCCGTGGCATTTACATTGATGGTGATGTTTCCTCGCGGATTTGTGCGTTGTTGTAAACGACGCTCGGCGGCAGCTTGTGCCAGGCGCTCATATTCTTCCCTTATCTCTGCCGGTGTCCTTGTCCGGTGAACTATTTCCCAACCTTCCGTTTTGAGGCCCTTCTCACCAACCGAGTCGTAAATAGCTCGCTGGTGCGGATCCGAGAGGACCTCATAGGCGCGTTTTGTACGATTGAACATAATTTCTGCTTTCTTTTTGCTATCCGGGTCCGTATGTTTGTCCGGATGGTAAATGCGACTCTGCTTCCGGTACGCGCTGTTAATCTGCTCGGTGGTGGCCTACAATCAAACAGATTATTGCAAAGTTGTTCATATACTTGAGGGAGGACACTGGATGCACTTACATTTCGCGGTAAATTAAGAAACGTGTAGTAGTTTTCATCGAGTTCGGCGTCGGATTCATTGTCCGATGCCATAACGCCGAATATTCGAGTTAGACTGTCGACAGATTACGCTCAGAGTGTCTAATGTACCGGCTATACAAAGGCGGCAGAAGCAGCATCGGTCGAACCGACGTTTTATGATTCAATTTTGGTGAAAATTTTGAAACTATTTTTTTTTGTGATTTACTTTACGCAATAATAACAACACGTGTGATGGAACACGAAACGCTGGGAAAACCTCACACACAGGGTGTTTCGGACAGATCTTTTGGAGAAGGCGAGCCTCTAACGTCATAAATCAAACTGTTCACAACATAAGCTATTACAGTTTGTATTGCCGAATTATTAAATACACAAATTTCAAATCAAATCTGCAAAGCTTTGTAAATAATTTAAAGAAATCACACAAATACACTTGCCACTTAAAAACGCTGGCAGCTCTGTGGGTCACACTCAATGCAACGCTGCGTGTTTTGTTTCAATTCCGTCAAAACCGACTGTTCCTGAGCGCTGTTCACATCTCTGTCTTCTGTCTTTATCCAGCCCTCGTAAGGGAAACGTGCTCGTGGTTCGCTCTGACGAAATTTTCGCCTTAAAGCGGTGCAGTTTGCAGCTGTTTTATTTGATAACTAGTAGCAGTGTGAAATTAAGAAAGTAATATACCAATATGCTGCGCGTTCCCAAACTTTTGCCACGCCTTGCGCGCCAGGCCAGCCTTGCAGCATCATCGAATATGCCTGCAGGTTCTAGCATATTCCGCGTAAGTACAAATCAGCTTTACATAATACCACGAGCGGCATGTTCTAGCAATTCATGTTCTTACATACGATTCACGTATAATAAATAATAAACGCATACTTGTGCTATTTACAGAATCTGCCCGGTGCCTGCAATGGATTCTCTGGTCAAATGCGTTACAAGTAAGTGAACTTTCATTTAACAGCTTATGTTACACATGTTGATTTGCCGCACACCAATGCGGCGATAAACTTCAAATCAAACAATATGCGGCTACTTATGTAATAGATTTATGTCGTTATTTTCGACAATAGTTACGTATTCAATTTCAATTGCCATTTGAGGTACAAAATTGCATCAGTATCTTTAATCTTTCTTTTTGTTGGTTTTAATATTTTTTTTTGTAAAAAACAAGCAGACACAAACTACATACAAACATGCGCACATACTGTAACATGCAGTTCTTGGCAGTGTTGGGCACTCTTGTTCAAATGCAATTGGTAGTTCATTTCTTAAGTTGAACAGTGGTTCGCTCTGCTTATTATTTTCAATAAATTGATTTTATACTAATACTTTTTAAGGTCAGGCTTATATAAATTTTTTAATGCATTGTAGCAAATCTTCAAAATTTGTTTTCCTAAGATGTTTCTTGATATCAATTTCCATTGAAATGTTAATTTCAATTAGTCCGTACAAACTGGTTCAGAATTGAGTTGTACAACACTTACTGTTGACCCCAGCGCTTATCGCTTAGTCTTATCAAATTCGCGAATATCTATTTTTAACACGTGTTCTTTTATTTTGTATTTTTCGCTGCCCTCAGATCTGGCGAAGTTAAGGGTGCTGTCATCGGCATTGATTTGGGCACCACCAACTCCTGCTTGGCTGTGATGGAGGGCAAACAAGCCAAGGTGATTGAGAATGCGGAGGGCGCGCGCACAACACCCTCACATGTTGCTTTCACCAAGGATGGCGAACGTTTGGTTGGCATGCCGGCAAAGCGTCAGGCGGTCACCAACTCGGCAAACACTTTTTATGCCACAAAGCGTCTGATTGGCCGCCGCTTTGATGATCCTGAGGTGAAGAAGGATATCACTAATCTGTCGTACAAAGTTGTGAAGGCTTCCAATGGCGATGCCTGGGTATCCTCCACAGATGGCAAAGTGTACTCGCCCTCACAAATCGGTGCCTTCATTCTCATCAAGATGAAGGAGACCGCTGAGGCGTACCTCAACACACCCGTCAAGAATGCCGTGGTCACTGTGCCCGCCTACTTCAACGACTCGCAGCGTCAGGCTACCAAGGATGCTGGTCAAATCGCTGGCCTGAATGTCTTGCGCGTTATTAATGAGCCAACAGCAGCAGCGCTGGCTTACGGTATGGACAAGACCGAAGATAAAATGTAAGTTAATGCGTGGCAGTTTCAAAAGCCATCTAATTATAATCTATTTGTTATGCCTTGCAGTATTGCTGTATACGATTTGGGCGGTGGTACTTTTGATATTTCCATTTTGGAAATCCAAAAGGGCGTCTTCGAGGTGAAGTCCACCAACGGCGACACTCTGCTGGGCGGAGAGGATTTCGACAATGCCATCGTGAACTTTTTGGTGTCCGAGTTCAAAAAGGACAGCGGTATTGATATACGCAAGGACAATATTGCCATGCAGCGTCTTAAGGAGGCAGCGGAGAAGGCTAAGTGCGAGCTGTCGTCATCACAACAAACAGACATCAATTTGCCCTATCTGACCATGGACTCCGCTGGACCCCAGCACATGAATCTGAAAATGACTCGCTCCAAGCTGGAAAGCCTTGTCGGTGATCTCATCAAGCGCACCATTCAGCCATGCCAGAAGGCGTTGTCCGATGCCGAGGTATCTAAGTCTGAAATCGGTGAAGTTCTGTTGGTCGGCGGCATGACGCGTATGCCCAAGGTGCAGTCCACAGTGCAGGAACTGTTCGGACGCCAGCCTTCGCGTTCGGTGAATCCCGATGAAGCTGTTGCCGTTGGTGCCGCCGTTCAGGGCGGTGTCTTGGCCGGCGATGTCACTGATGTGCTTCTGCTTGATGTCACTCCCCTCTCGTTGGGTATTGAGACGTTGGGCGGTGTTTTCACGCGCCTGATTTCGCGCAATACCACCATTCCCACCAAAAAGTCGCAGGTGTTCTCAACGGCTAGCGATGGCCAGACTCAGGTTGAGATTAAGGTGCACCAGGGCGAGCGTGAAATGGCTAACGACAACAAACTGCTGGGCTCCTTCACACTGGTCGGCATTCCGCCAGCGCCCCGTGGTGTGCCTCAGATTGAGGTTGTCTTCGATATTGATGCCAACGGCATAGTGCATGTCTCTGCCAAGGACAAGGGTACCGGCAAGGAGCAACAGATTGTGATCCAGTCGAGCGGAGGCCTCAGCAAGGATGAAATCGAAAACATGATCAAGAAGGCCGAAGAATACGCCAGTGCTGATAAGAAGAAGCGCGAACTGATCGAAATTGTTAACCAGGGCGAGAGCATTGTACACGACACAGAGACCAAAATGGAAGAATTTAAGAGCCAGTTGCCCGCTGAAGAGGTTCGCAATAGATAACCATAACTCGACAAGGTTTGGTTAATAATAATATGAATTTCTTTTTAGTGTGAGAAGCTGAAAAAAGAAATTGCTGATCTGCGCACCCTGCTGGCCAACAAGGAGACCGCCGATCCAGAGGAGGTCAGGAAGGCTACCACTCAGCTGCAGCAGTCCTCACTGAAGCTCTTCGAGATGGCATACAAGAAGGTAGGCGCCAACAAATATGAGTTGTGTATTTGATCATGAATCGAACTTTGATTTATTTTGCAGATGTCCGCCGAACGCGAGAGCAGCTCCAGCGGTGGCAGCAGCAGCAGCAGTTCGGGCGAAACTTCTGGCGAGGCCAAGAAGGAGGAGAAGAACTAAATTAGGCAAACATAGTCGTAGTTGTTCCCATATTTCATAATAATCACATTTGGATTTCGATTAAGTTCTATGTTAAAACAAAACAAAAGCACATCATATTCCTGATTCTTCAAAATCATATATATATATTTATGTATATATATATATAGTTCCCTGACCCCACTCATAAGCAAAAAGGCATTTACCCAAATTATATTGTACCATGCGAGGACCTACGACCCAAGAGATGCTGACACCGACGATCAACGAAACACAACTCGAAGTCACGACAGTTGCATTAAGTTTTTTTTGTTTATAATGCACTCGAACGTCTGGATCGGAATCAATTGTAAATCTGTGGTGGAAGTTGTGTTGTGCTTACTGTAAGATTTTCCTTATTTTTACTTTACGTTTATTTTAAACTAGTTTTAGTTGTACAATAACGAGCACAGGCAGCACAAGCCAAAATCTTACAAAAACCACATGAGACAATGGCACGTTGGCAGATCGGAAGTCATAATTTAAGCAAAATTTTTATTTGGTTTCCAGTGGATAACCAAAAAGTTGACTGGGTAAAATGCAATCACAGTCGCAATACATATGTAAACTTTAAATATACATGAGCAAAAATATTATTTACAATTTGAACATACAAATGTTTTACTACTTGTACAATTCGAATTATGAGTGTATTAAACAAGAGAGTGCCCGACTAGCAGATGCCCTGTATGCAGCTCTGAGTGGTCGTAATATATATTTGAACAAATTTCTGTAACTAAATAAGCTGTGCTTCATTTTGTCTAGCAATTAAATATTGATTTTTAAAAAACTTCTGTGTTTCATCTGTATGCCAGGAGGGATTTTGACTTTCAAGGGCGACATTAAAAGTAAAGTAAAATGGAAACAAAGAGCTGTCGGAATTGATGCAGTTTGGCACACAAACTGACTTGACATTATAGAATGTTTTATGCCCTATAATTTTGCCATTTGCCGGCTTAACAATACAATAGGTTATCTATATGTCCATATTTATTCGTTATCTTATCAAAGACTGGTGTGTTATGGAAAATATAATTAAAGCAAACATATGTAAGGGACCGGGTTAAAAACTCAAATGTTTTGTCAATTAACATGGTTTTGATTTAAATTCGTGACATTTTAATTAATATTTATTATAATCCAGGTGAATAATTACCTATACGCTACCGTGATCAGTATCTTAAATAAAGCTGATTCGCATTTAGAAATTACTTTCAGATCGCGTTTGGGTCCCAATCAAAGAATGATTCATGTTAATGTTAAGATTATGTAAATGTTAATAATGCCAATGTTAATATCATTAACGGTCGCATGTTATTTTAACATTTTTATACTCTGTTCTCAGGGTTTTTTGTTAGAGAATATTGATTACGTGCAGGGATCGCTCAAAAAATAACTCCAAAGTAGGAGTTACCAAATTTAATCCAACTTTTAAATTATAGTTTGACAGTTACTTCCTTAGAGCAAAAGTTCTTCTACTGTGACTGTAAGCGACTGCACGCCTCCTGCTTATTAGAATTTAATTTTTACAAAATTTATTGAGTTTAAAATGTGCCCAACAATGTCGGTAAATTCATAAATATGTTTTGATTTCTTATGTGCTAAAATGTTCCTATCGAATTAGATGTGTCTGTTTTATTTACAGTATAATACTAGTCGCGCTTAGATCCTAGGTTGTCATTGATCGAAATTCGTTAGCCTAGAGTGCCATTTACATGGCGCCTGTTTGCAGTTTGTACAATGTATAGTAGAGTCCACGGTTCTGGAGCAGTTCTTTGTGGGTGCCGCTCTCACAGACGACTCCATTCTCGAACACATAGATAATATCCGAGTCGACAATGGTCGATAATCTGTGGGCTATGCTAATTGTGGTGCGTCCTTCGGCGGCCGCATCCAATGCCTCTTGAACGATCTGTTAAATATCGGAAATAAACATTTAAATATATTGTATGGAGCAATACTATAATCGAGATCAATATATAATAATATATATAACATAAACACCAAACATGACCAGATTCTCCCTTCCGGGTGTCGTTTTTCTTTGATATCTAAAACATTTTCCAACTCACCTTCTCACTTTCCGCATCCAATGCGGATGTGGCCTCATCCAGCAGGAGAATTTTCGGATTTCTGATAAGGGCTCGAGCAATGGCAATACGCTGTTTCTGTCCTCCGGATAACTGTGTGCCCTTCTCGCCCATACGTGTTTCATAGCCCTGTCAAAAGTAGAAGAAGAAAATGATATGGGGTTATTATCTATCCCATTTAATCATATATCAAGAAGGACTAACCAGCGGCAGGTTGGCAATGAAGCTATGTATGTTGGACTTCTTGGCCGCCGCTATGATCTCCTGATCCGTGACTATTCTGGAATTGTCACCATATGCAATATTTTCGCGAATGCTACGATCGAATAGTATCGGCTCCTGCGAGACAATGCCCAGCTGCATGCGCAGATTCGAAATGGCCAATTGTCGGAGATCCTGATCATCGATCCGGACAGCACCAGCGTCCACATCGTAGAAACGTTGCAGTAGCTGAATGCACGTGGACTTGCCGCAGCCGGATGGACCCACCAAAGCCACCTTTTGGCCCGTTTGCACTGCCAGAATTAGGCCGCGGAGCACCTGGACTTCCAGACGCGTGGGATAGCTGAATTCCACCTTGTCGAAGAGCACATTGCCCTTCGAGTGCCAGGGCTTCAAGGAGACATCAGGACTGTCGGCAATTAGCGGCTTGCGCTCCAGGAATTTCAATATGGTATTGGCGGCACTGATGCCCTTTTGCATGTTGGGCGCGAAGGCCAAGGCGCTGGCAATGGATGCCGTGCCCATTATCAATGCCTGCGATACTCTGTAAGGCAAAAAGTTTTTTTAATGGAATCTTGTGCTAAGGTTTGCTTGGCTTGCTGTAAACTCACTTGAAGACATCGCCGAACGGCAGATTCCGATTGACCACACACCAACCGCCATAGGACATGCAGGCCGCATAGGCAAAGAACATCATGGATCTCGCCAGACCATAGACAATGCCACGATAGTGCGTGTTCTTCTTGGATTTCTATATAAATATAAATGAAATCAAGTACCGATACTCAAGTGATTCAATTGAAAAACGTCATACTTGAGCTAAGCCGTCTTCAAACATGTTTGACCTGCAACATGTTCGAGTTGCGTTTGCTCGAGCATCGACTCAAGTGCTTACCTCAACGGCTGGAGTCAGCATTTCAATGTAGTTGTTATGGAACATGTCCTCGCGGCCCAGGGACACCACAGTGCGTATATTGGAGACCACCTCGACGGCCAGTTTCGTTGTGTTCTCCATGATTTTGGCATTGCCCATGTTCTCCTGCGCCATGACAGTGCGTTGCAAATAAAAGGAGACCAGAATGAAGGGTATGAATGCCATGGCCACGAGACCCAGGCTCCACTCGTAGTACATGGCCAGAGCGATGCCCAGCACCAGGGTGGCGATCGATTGGATGATGCTGCCAATACGCTGACCTGTCGCCTGCAAGGATAATAAGGATCAGATTGGAAAGTGGGCAAACTTTGATCAACTTACGCCCTGTACGGCGGCTGCATCGCCTGACAGTCGGGCACAGAGACTGCCCGTGCCGTTGGCACGATCATCGAACCAGGAAACCTCCTGCTTCAGCATGCTGCTGAAGAGGAGACCCCGAATGCGCTCCGTGAGACGTTCGCCCGCCACGCCGAAGAAGTAGATCTGCATAAAGGTGGACAGGCCAACGACAATGCCGGCGATCAGGAAGTAAAGGCTGTACTCGTTGGTGTTGTCCCGCACGTATACAGGATCATCGGATTGCAGCACTTGCAGAATGCTGCCGAAGAGCACCGCGAAAATGGGCATGGCACAGCCCATTATGATCGAGCATACGCAGCCGATGGCGATCTGCATCCATTCCGGTTGGTTCAGCTTCATGACGCCACTCATGGGTGAGCCTTCGTTTTTGTCCCGCTTTGTCTTCTTCTTTTTGTCCACCTGGGCCACTTCATCGTCGACGTCGTCCTGAATTATCTTGATTTCCTCCTCGTCCTCATCCTTGATATCAAAGTTCTTGTAGATGTTGCCACTGGGACTGAGCAGGCTGCCGTCGTCATCGCCCATCTGCGTGGTCACCAAATTGAAGTAGTGGTTCTTCAGCATCATCAGCTCCTGGTGGGTGCCGGCCTCGACGACCTGGCCATTGTTGATCACCACGATTTTGTCGGCGCGCCGCACCGTGGACAGACGATGGGCCACAATGATGGTGGTGCGTCCCTGGCTGACCTTCTCCAGGGCGGCCTGCACCTTTGACTCGCTGGCCGTATCGAGCGCAGAGGTGGCCTCATCCAGCAACAGAATCTCCGGGTCACGGATCAGAGCGCGGGCAATGGCAATGCGTTGTTTCTGGCCGCCGGACAATTGAGCTCCGCGCTCTCCCACGAGCGTGTCGTAGCCCTTGGGCAGTTTCTTGATGAAGATGGCAGCATTTGCTGCCGCGGCTGCCGCCTCGATATCCTCCTTGGTGGCATCCTCGCGACCATAGCGTATGTTCTCGTATATGGACTGGCCGAAGAGCACCGGCTCCTGGCCGACCACGCCGATGCGCTCGCGCAGCCAATTAATATTGATGTCCTTGATGTTTGTGCCGTTGAAGAAGAGTTCACCGCCTTGGGGATCGTAGAAGCGCTGTATCAGCTGTATGCAGGTGGACTTGCCACAGCCCGAGGGGCCCACCAGAGCCACCGTCTGGCCGCGATGAATTCGCAGGTTGAGCTTCTGCAGAATGGGTATCTCCTTGCGCGTGGGATACTGGAACTCGACGTCGCGGAACTCGATGGTTGTCAGCGGCTCGTTGAGGCTCTGGCCGCGCGGCTCAATCGGATTAATAATTGGGATCTGCTCAATGATGTGGAACACCTTGGCGCAGGCACCCTTGGCTATGCCGAATGCCTCAATATACGGAGACGCCATGCCTATATTCATCGAGCCCATCATGATGGAGAAGAACACGGTTATCATAGTGCCGGGCGTATAGTTTTCATAATATACGTCTTCACGTCCCTTGAGAACCAGGCCAACGCCATACCAGAAAGCCAGGGCGTACGAGGCGTAGATGAAGAACCACAAAAGGCCGAAGCCAATGCCGGAAAACATATTGCGCTTGATGTTCAGCTCCTTGGCCGCAACGACTTTCGCCTTGTAGGCGGCGACCTCCTTGTATTCACCCTCGAACGCCTTGACCGTGCGCACGCCGGACAAGGCCTCCTCGGCGACGATGGCGGCACCCGCATACATGTTGACCTCCTGTTTGGCCAGCTTGGATGTGGCCACGGCCACGAAGCCCATGGCTATAAAGGTCACCGGCAAGCTGGTCAGGCACACGAGGGCCAGCTGCCAGCCCTTGACAAAGGCCAGGACAATGGATCCAACGAATGCGACTATGTAATGCACAAATATGACAACTTTCTCGCCGAGACCATCCTCCATTTTTGACAGATCCCTGTGGGGTGCGAGACAAGCAATTAGACTCCCGCATAGGAAGGATTTTTAAAGGGAATACTTACTCATTCATTCGGCTGGCAACCTCTCCGCTCGGATTGATATCGTACCAGGTCATGTCTTGGTGCAGCACGGATTTGAAAAACTTGGAACGTATGCTCATTATCTGAGAGTGGGCCGCATAATTGAAAACCGTGATGGATATGTAACTGCAGAACAGCATCACGATGCCAATATAGGTGTTGTACAGCGAAAACTGTTGCACTGATTCCTGGAGGAGTTCGGTAGCCGACGATTCTTTCATATATGTGGCGCCAGACAAGAGCCCGCTATAGTAAATCATGTCCTAAAAAATTGTCAAAAAAATTATTCCATGTATTTAAATGTATATGTATACCTAAATGTGCATTATCATAAAACCCGAAAAAGAAGGGCCATCTTCGGCACGCCGAAGATATAATACCCTTGCAGGCCGTATCTAAGATGCGCAGGGAAATTAGATAATACCGAGTATGGTTAAGATATCTTGATAAGCAGAAAAGTTGTTCATATAAGAACCTACCTTTAGACCTATCGTTCCTAAGGCAGCTGCTATATGATATAGTAGCTCGATTCAGAAACAGGCAGACGGACAGACGGACATGGCTATATCGACTCGGCTGTTGATACTAATCAAGAATATATATACTTTATCGAAGATGTCTCCTGCTATGCGTTACACATCTCACGACAAAATTATAATACCCTCTGCAAGGGTATAAAAACATTTGTAAGTACTTTCAATATAATCGATGAAAGGCACTTGAGAGCACTTCGATTTGTTATTTTATCAACTTAAGTTGTTAAGTGCCGGAGGTATGAGCCGTAAACAAGTTAGTGGACAGTACCTCGTGCTCCCTGTTAACCCGAGATATACTTACGTTCGCCAGATTTCCAAAGATCAAGCTGTTCGCCGGCGTTGTCAGGCCCGTGGCCACCGCGCAGAGCAGACCGATAAAGTAGAGCATGCGATCCCTTGATGTTGCATAGCGGAACATTGTGAGGAAACCCACCGGCTTGATGTCTTCCTTTGGCTTGTCATCGTCGGCGCTATCGGTTGATTCGTCATGCTTGGAATTCTTTTTCGTTTTATTCGGTTGGCTGCAATAAAAAACAAAAACACGCAAAGCACACGCCTTTTATGAGTACACTCGAAGCACACACACACACAAACTATTGCCAGTCATAAATTGGCCAGAAAACAACCCTTCGCAACCCATTGGTTCCGCAAGTAATCGCACATTCCTTATCGCTGACCCCAGCACCAATCAAGGCTGACAGATTCGAAAGCAAAAAAAAAAAAGCCACATTACGCTCAGATTAGGAATACTATTTTGAGTATTTTATATCATTCATCAACTTTGTCATCGTATTTCTCCTTTTTCTTTAACTTTTTTAAAATGAACATTAGTTCGTGTCACAAGGCAACTTTTATTTTCGATTTGTGGCTCTTTATTCATGAATACAATAAAATTTATGACTCTATTCGCGATACTCACACGACACATAGAAAAAGTGCACAATCATGGTTACAATAGTTTTTGATAGAGTTATCAAAAAAAGAAAAAAACTGGATAAGCCCTATGCATGCGTATAACTGATTAATATATATCTGTTGATATATCTGCAGATAAAAGCTTGAGGGCCTTAGCATGACTTTATCAAGTAAAGACTTTATCAAGTATTTGAAACAAGAATATATATACTTTATGGGGTCGGAGATGCATTATTCTGCTTGTTGCACACATTTGTACAAATACATTATACTCCTTTTACCCATTTTTAATGTTGTTTAAAAATCACATAATTTTAGCATCTTCATTTTCCTAACGTGAATATATTAGTTACTTTTTAGATACTTTTTTTTTGTATAGCCCAACTAAATGTTGTATATCCTTTTTTTATGAATACTTCAAACACATCTTTCAACTCACAAGCTTTTGCTTTCTTTGTCTGCGGAGGCAAAGGATTCGCCCAACACAATATTCGTTTTATAATGTGACAAGCGATTTTCGTCGTCCTTGACGACGTTGCCGTTCGCCGCGGTCATTATCAGATATGATTGATAACACCTAAAATTGGTCTGCACTTAGTTTGTTAAATTCTTTTGTTGGACACACGAACTGAGCAGAAGCGAGTTTAGAAAGAGACTTGCGAAATTGTCCAAAACATATGGCCTTATATTTGAATGGCTGGGCTTTCAAATATATTAGTCGCATATCGGTTCGTGCTGATAATGTTTATCAATTTATTGTGCTATTAATAAGCTAAGAGTAGGCGAAAAGAGAAAGACCACGGGCTAAACCAATGAAGAGTCCATTTCACAAGGCATTAACAAAAAATATAACAACAAAAGAAATCAAGTCACGTTTAAATAGCAAAAAAAGCTTTAAAAGTTTAGTTTCTTGTTGAAATCATAATTTTTGATAAATGGCTTCTTAATGAGCTGTTCGTGAAAATTCCAGCTATTTGGGCTCCGTTTAATGATTGCCACAGTCAATAGAGCCCCAAGCAATTAGCCGATTTAACAATTCAATTATAGATGTCATCATTAGTTTCTTAATCAACACTGGAGAGAGCCAAGAATGCGCACTCGCTCGCTCTCTCTCTCTCTCTCTCTTTCTCTCTCTTCTTGTTTATCTCGTCGTTGTTATCAGAAACGATTACATATTAAATGTCCTTATCAAATGCAAAAGCTTGACCAAAAGAGCGTGATAGCTGAATTTTACGAAGTACTTACACACAATACATCGTTAACAGAAAAAAAAACCATAAAAAAACAAAATATTTGTATAATTGATAAACATACTTAATCACAAAAATGCAGCTTACATAAAATTAAATCGTTGCACAGTGATAAGTACTTATACATTTGAAACTGCGAAATAATAAATAAATAGATATTCACATATATGCTAATCAAAATTAAGAATCTATACATGTTTTAATTGGCAAAGCGTTGTGCCAGCTGTATTAATAATTTTAATTTTTGGACTATATCCCAGAGATTTCATAAATAAATGTAATACTTTAAGTTTTCAGTTCGTGACCAAAATATAATACCCTCCACTAGAGTATAAAGAATACATACATTCACATACACACATGCATACATACGTATTCCCAAACATACACATGTACATACACACACGCACACACACGCACGGACACGCACGCGCACACGCACACACACACACGGACACGCACACGCACACGCACACGAACACACACACACACACACGCACACACACGCACGCATGCACATACATACATACATACATACATACATATATATATATATACATACATACATACATACATACATACATACATACATACATACATACATACATACATACATACATACATACATACATACATACATACATACATACATACACACATACATACATACAACCAACAACAACCAACAACAACCAACAACAACCAAGAACAACCAAGAACAACCAACAACAACCAACAACCAACTACAACAACTACAAAGAAAGAGTACACTACTAGCTAAGCATGCAAAACTGCAGAGCCCACTTGAATTCCTGAGAATCGAGGAGGAGAGCACTTGTAGAAATTCGTTTTATTTAAATTTGCAGCACATCGACAAATAGGCTTGGTCTGCGCTTGGAGTTGGAAAACCAACATGCATGCATACATATACACATAAATGCATACATACATGCACGCAGACACTAACACACATTGCCCTCATACACACACACACACATACATACACACACACACACAAGCACACGAACACACTTATAAAATTAATACAAAATACTTGCATTTTTATATAATTTGTTCCATATAAGCTCACTATTTGAGGGCAAACCTTCATCCAATGTAGAATCTATACTTTATTTATTGCTATTAAATATATAAAACAAAAACAAAAAATTAAAGAAACTAAAGTTACTAAAACACACCTTGTGATATATTATAGGGAATAATAGCTTTGACTCTCAACTTATATTTATTAGGCTAGGTCTAATCAATGCTAAGGGAATTAATATTGAGTACTTAAACGGTGGAACAGTTGAGGTGAGGTGAGGCATGGGAAAGATTTTCCCAGCCCAAACTATAATTGCTGTGTATTCATGATATCAGCATTTTGCATTTGCAGGTTGCTTTGTCTGGACGCGATAAGAATACGACGGCAAATTCTTAGCGCATGTAAACGCGTAGGTACTTGACATTATTCATATATGCATGTGTTTGATAACGTGTTTGAAAAATAGATGATGAATAAGTCACGTTTTTGGTATTATTGGTTGGCCTATTGGTTTCTGGATCAGAATTATATATAACGTGTTATTTGTAGCTTGTTCATATGCCAATTTAGCCGGCTCGATGCTTAAGTGTTGATTTGAACAGATGTTCATATGCCTTATCTATCAACGCGCAATTTAAAGCTAATAAAAACCTAATAATTAAGAGTCAGAGATATTCATTTATTGAATACTCATTGTATTAAAGTAATTTCATGGTTAACAAGTTCAATTGCTCATGTCTTAAGTATATATGTATAAACAAGCAACTGTACAAAGATAATTAAAATTTAATTATAACATAGTGTTCAAATACAAAGTCATTTGGGCCAATTAAAAGTCGCGCGCTAGAATGATGATCATTAACAACAGCTTGTTAGTGTTTTTATAAGTGTTAAATGAACTTTGCAATGGAAATCAATTTAAATTACCCTCCACGATTATTTGGTTGTATTCTCGATCATGCCAGCTTATTAGTTATCGATAAAATGTATATAAAATGTTTGCTCCTTTTGGCTCTGTTATCGCTCGCTAACACAGTTTTTAACATGCCTTACTACTGTTAAATTTCTAGTTGCAATAACATAGTAAATAACGAACTAGTTGAAAAACAATCGGAGGCTTGGTTCGTTCATTTAGTTTTAGCGAGTCGTTCGATCGAACTTATTCCAACTCTATTAGCAATAGAAACGCAATTCAACAAGTCATCAACATGTCAAGCGAAGGAGAGAAAACTTTTACGCGTGCGGAAGTCGCCAAACACAATACCAACAAGGACACATGGCTGCTCATTCACAACAATGTCTACGATGTCTCGGCATTCCTTAACGAGGTGAGCACATTGGCTAGGCAAAAGAAAAACAACAACAATTCCGTCGTACACGTCGAAATCAGGGCGCGGGCGCTGGCGTTGGCGCTGGCATTTTATTCCCCACTGTCTAGGAGGGGGGAAAACTTGTCGTCTTATCATCGACACTTAGCTGTTATAGCTTGACTTAGTAGTGCCGAGATGTACAATTGAGGTATCTGTACAAATTTCTACCTATTGCGTGTGAATGAATATTATATGGTAAAACACGAACAGTCATTTGGGCCTGTACTTTGACCTATGATCGCTGGCTGACCTACTGATTTTTATTGTTAGTTTTGTGCGAACGAATGTGTCAATCGGTTATACAAAACAATTTGCATATTTTCGAAACGTGCATGTTTATATTCATAGATTTGATATTTTCATTTTCGCATTGCTTACAAAAGGTGCCAGCGCGCAGTGTAAGTTCGTTTCCATTATCAATGGAAATAGGGCAAAAGTTAAACAAAATCTGGTTCTAGCAACATTTACATTTCGTTTGTCTACGCAGCTCCATTTTCTTATGTAAGTACATCTGTAAATGCACGTATAGTTCAAGTTAAAAGTCATTCAAAAACATATCCCCATATATAGCTCATAACAGTTTCAAAAAGCTCAAGTGTTGTAAAGCGAAAAAAAAAGAAGAATGTTAATAATAACATAACTAAAATATAATTTATTCCTAAGCCCTTGCTAAGCACTAGAAAGTTTCTAAAATCTACTAAATGCAGAATCATAAAGATATTCATATTCGAACAAGATTCACATGAAAAGTTGACCAGAAAATGTTTAAATAGTGAAGTAATTTGCTTCGTATAAACATTTTTATATATTGTGTTAATGTTGATTTCATCTGAAATAGGTATATGATCAGACTAATTATATCTTAGCCCGCTTAAGACCCATACATGCATAGGTGCTTGTCACTATGACACTTGCTTGTTATTGCCTCAACGGTGATAAGAAAGCCGGGCCACTTTTAAAAGTGTATTTTAATGATTACGCTGCAGTTTTTGTACATAAAATAACAAAACTTTGTATGATGAAAGCTGCACGTTCACCCGGCAATTCAAAGTTTCGGCGTTTACGAACACTGTTCAAATTAGTAACCCTTTTTGAACGTCCATGGGGCAACAACGAGACTGTTTATGTTTTAAACATTAGATTTAGCTGTTCCTGCTTTGATTTCTTGATTTTTTCAATGTCAATATATGAGACACTCAATTTGCATATTTACATATAGAGTAGCGCATTAAATATTCGTCTTTTTTTTTTTTGTTTGCAGCATCCCGGCGGCGAAGAGGTGCTCATCGAACAGGCCGGCAAAGATGCCACCGAAAACTTTGAGGATGTGGGCCACAGCAACGATGCCCGCGAAATGATGAAAAAGTACAAAATTGGTGAGCTCGTTGCCAGCGAGCGCACGAATGTTGCACAGAAATCGGAACCCACCTGGAGCTCAGACACACAGAACGAGGAGAGCTCCGTTAAGTCATGGATATTGCCCCTGGTGCTCTGTCTGGTTGCTACGCTCTTCTACAAGTTCTTTTTTGGCGGCGCCAAGCAACAGTAAAGACAAAGATGTGTTGCCTCAACGCTGGACCGCTACTGCCTCCGATTCTGACACAGATCACACACACACACACACGGTCACACACAGACACACACACACGCACACACAGTCGCATTCCCATGCCATGCCTTTAATATTGTTGTAGTGTGTTCTACGCTTGCGGGAGGCTTCTAGCCGGGCTAGTCGTTGCAGCTAGCGGGTTTTGTAGAGAGAATTTGTGCTAAGTTTTGTTTTAAAAGATAAAAAATGTGAATGTTTTGGCATTTTGCTTTTGTACTAATTTGCTTAAGTGGGCTTGAGTTTTCTTATAGATAATTGTTTAACTTTTCAACACATGCAACAAGAAATATACACATATATTTAAATATATACTATTAAATATGAACGTATTCAAAATCGCATGGCGTTTACTATTTCGTCGAAACTAATCTAATTTTCGAATATTAAATATTCTCTCAACTTCTTTACAAAATGTCAAAATTTCTCAATGTAGCTATCTTGGCGGGCACAAGCACCATGCTTGCATATTCCTCCGCCCCAGTAGCCCAGGACAGGAACAAGGCGCCGCAGATGAAGCGTGAGCTGCCTAGTCGCAGCATGAGCTTGGATTCATTGCGCCGCACGGAGTACGATATTTTGATTATTGGCGGTGGTGCAGTGGGTGCTGGCTGTGCCCTGGATGCGGCTACCCGTGGACTCAAAACCGCCTTGGTTGAGGCCGATGATTTTGGCAGCGGCACCTCCTCGAAGTCCAGCAAGCTGTTGCATGGCGGCCTCAGGGACCTCAATCAAGCAATCAGTCATCTCGACATATCTGCTTTCCGACGTGTCCAAACCTCTTTAAACGAGCGCAGCAACATTGCCAACATGGCGCCGCATTTAAATCAGCCCGTGCCGATTATGTTGCCGGTCCATCATTGGTGGCAGCTGCCCATCTACTGGGTAAAGCTGCATCTATATCATCTGATGGCGCCTGGCTCCACAAAAGGTTTCCATTTCATCAATTCACGCGAGGCGCTCGAAATGTTTCCCATGATGCGCCGCGAAATTTTTGGCGCCTTTGTCTTTTACGAAGGGCAGCACGATGATGCCAGGATGTGTCTCGCTGTCATTTTAACAGCCTCCCGCTATGGCGCCGACACTTGCAATCACATGAAGGTGGTTAGGTTGCTGCGCGACAAGAAGAACATGGTGGTGGGCGCCATCGCAGTGGACCAACTGACTGGCAATCTCTACAAGATACGCGCCAAAATGGTTATAAATGCTACGGGGCCAATGAGCGACACCATTGCACGAATGGAGGATGCCCAAGCGCCAGCACAGTGCACACCCACCTGGGCCTCGCACATAGTGCTGCCGCCCTTCTATTGCCCCGAGGAGGTCGGCCTGTTCGATCCACATACAAAGAATGGCTCGGCCATATTCTTTCTACCCTGGCAGGGGCACACGCTGATGGGCACCTCGGATGAGACACGCGAGGAGAGCGAAGGGCCGCAGCCAACGGAAATGGAGGTGCAGTACCTGTTGGACGGCATTAGGAACTATATCAATCCCAACTTTGATGTGCGACGCTGCGATGTCTTGGCCGTTTGGGGCGGCTACAAGCCGCTGCCCATTCAATCTAAGGCGCTGCAACATTCGACCTTGAAGAATCATGTTATATCTTTGGGGCCGGGCAAAATGATCTCAATTGTGGGCGGCACCTGGACGTCGTTTCGGCTGCTGGCAGAGAAGGCAATCGATACGGCTATCAAGAGTGGTGGCCTGGAACCATTGCGGATACACTCAATTACGGCGACCCACTGTAAGTTGGATGGGGCCGATGGCTGGTCACCGAGCATGTTTATAAGACTGGTGCAGGATTTTGGCTTGGAGGAAGATGTGGCCAAGCATTTGTCCGACACGTACGGTTCGAATGCCTTCAAGTTGGCCGTTTGTGCCAACACCTGTGGCGGCAAGTGGCCGATTATAGGAAAGCGGCTGCACTCAGAATTCCCCTATATTGAGGCGGAGGTGCGGCAAGGCGTAAGGGACTATGCCTGCACGTTGGTAGATATGGTGGCACGTCGCCTGCGTGTTGCCTTCCTCAATGTGCACGCGGCGGAGGAGATATTACCGCAGGTGGCCAACGAAATGGCGCGCGAGTTGAAATGGAGCAAGAAGAGAAAGTTGAAAGAAATCGTAAAGGCTCGACAATTTCTCAACACGCAAATGGGACACGTACCCAAAAGTGAGCAAGCCCAGTTGAGCATACCCATCAAAATGTCCGTGCATCAGGTGCAAAAATATGCGGCGTACTTTAAGACTCTGGACGAGCACAACACCGGTTTTGTGTCCATAAACAAATGTTGTGCGGCGATGAAAACGTTTGGCGTCAAAGAAGTGCCCGTGGATCTGATGCACAACGTGCTGCGCGACATCGACTGCCATTCGCAGGGCCAGGTGAATCTGTACGAGTTCCTGTTGCTGATGTCGGCCATTGTACACGGTGATACGGCCTATTTGCGCTATGCCAAAATGAATCTCGACCAGAAACTTTCCGCGATAAGTAACCGCCGGCGCAAAAAGCGTGCATTGCCTGTCGAGCGTTCTGGCGGTGGTTTGTGATGTCTAAATTAATCCTTTTAAAATCCATAATGTCATTGAGCAGTAAATAGTAATAAATCTATTTACCACTCAATGTCTTAATGTACGCTATTTTCAATGTACTCTTATACTTTATGTGCGCTGCCACATCGATGGAAGATGAGCTGCCACATCAATGGAAAATTAACTGCCAGTGCTGCCACACTATACTCGCTTAGCTAAGTATCGGTAAGGTAAAGTTTAAAAATTAGCTAGCCTCTAACCTAATATTTTAGTTGTGTGTGTTGATTTATTTAAATTGTAAACCGTTTACATACGAAATTAACTTTGCGCTAAGTGGGATATCGACGCATTTGCGTTATTTTGTAGACTCGAAATCTTTAACATTTTTATATTTTTCTCTTAGCAACGCTCGTATATGCCTTAAAAGGTCTTTGTAGTTTTATATTTATATGAATTTAACATTTTATATATGCATTATTGCAACATTTACTATAGCGTACTAACAGTGTGTTTCAATACATCAATTTCTTTTCATTATGTTGCAGCATTTGCTCGCCATGTAAAACATTTCATGGATTTTGTAAATATGTGCTTATGCAATACACATGCAAAGTAAAACAATAGTAAACAATTATATAAATATAAGTGCTCTATGTATGTTTAAAACGAAATACTCAAATAATAAAGTTAAACTTAAATAAATAGAAATAAAAAGTTTCCTCTACGGAATAGTTAATAAGAAAATATATAAATAATTGTGGCGGCATGTTTTATACATTCATCGATGTAAGCATGAGAAATACACTTGTTGACATGGATTTTATGTTTGTTTGTTTTTTGAGTGTTGGTGCACTAAAGACACTTTCACTTTTAGATCGGCTAATGTAATTATTAGCTGCTTAACTTTGACCTGAGCTGAGACATTTTTATTCTACTAATATATCGACGCGTAGCCATTCAAATGGAATAACAGTATTCGGTTAATTTGAACATGTGCGTGTGTGAAATTTAAATAAAACATATTGATTCTACGATGTGTTGTGCACTGGGCATGATAAGTAGTACATTTTCTTTTTGTTTTGAACTTTCCGAACTCTCTAAGCGACCGCATCTGTGGCGCACTCCTCCTCGACGGTAATGTACATGCCCTCCTCCTCGTAGGCAGAGTCATGCTTGGCCAGGATTCGCAACAGCGGGCGCAAACGCAGCCACCACTGTTTCTTCGGTATGCGTTGACTGAGAAAATAGAAATACACATGTATAAAAATGGACCCTAATTGTATAAAATCCTTAGGTCTTCAGCACTTACTCAAAGTTGGTCTCGCCAATGAGGTCAACCAACGGACTGAAGCGGTATTGACGGGCAACAATGCCCAACAGGGTTGCCGTATCGGTCGATTTACAGTTGACCACGCCATTGGCATCGATGTTGTTCTTGATCTGGGTTGCCAGCCAGTCGACACACTTGGCAGCCATTTTGGTTCCCATGTTACGATCGAAGGGTGTGGGCGAACCACCCTGTTGCATGTGGCCCAAGATGTTCATGCGGCAGGTGAAGAGACCCTTGCCCTCCTCCGAATACAGGCGGTAGATGAAGTCCGTGGTGTAGTTTTCACTGGCCTTCTCGTTGCGCAAGATCAGACCGCGAGAGACGCCTTCGGCCATTTTCGATGCCATGTGGTAGACATCCTGCTGCAAGTCCTTGATGGAGAACTTCTCCTCGTATATATAGGCGGCATCGGCGCCGCCGGCCAATCCAGCCAGTGTGGCCAGATAGCCGCAATATCCACCCATTGTCTCAATAACAAACACGCGTCGCTTTGTGCCCTGCGCCGATTGGCGAATGCGATCGCAGATTTCGGTTATCTCATTGAGGCCAGTGTCGCAGCCAAGTGAGAATTCGGTGCCGGGCACATTGTTCGAAATGGTGGCCGGAACAACAACAATGGGTATGCAAAATTCTGGATAATTGTCACGCTGATCGGAGATTTGGCCAGCGGCATGATAGCTCTCGAATCCGCCAATGATCAGCAGACCCTGGATCTTGAACTCCTTAAGACGTGCAGCGATCTCCTTGAATTTGCCCTCGGGCAGCGTACGCTTTGTGCCCAAATAGGCACCACCTTGGCCCACCCAGCCGGACACATCAGACCTGAAGAAGAGAAGTTCGCGTTAAGTGAATTGTGCCCAGATTCGAGGGAAGTATACGCACCAGCCCAGCTCGCGTACATTGCCAGCAATGAGACCCTCGACGCCATCGTTGATGCCGTAGACAACATCGCCGCGATAAATGGCATTTCGCACAAAGCTGCGCACGGCCGCATTCATGCCGCAGGCTGGCGCACCGATGTGCATCACGGCCAGCCTGAAGCCCTCAATGCCCTTGCCCTGTTCATCGAAACACTCCTTGGGTGGCTTCAACCGGGTCAACATCTTGTACGTTTCCAGATTGCGTTCAAACGAACGTCCTCGTAGCTTTACGGCATCCGCCCAACGACGCTCCTTCATGGCCTTTGCCACGGCCTGGGTGCGTTCAACACACTCCATCAGTGGGACACGAACCGTCTGGTTGCCGTCCAGGGAAATGACAACTGGCACCGATTCTTCCGTGGCCTCCATCAGGGCCAGTGTGGCCTCAGCGCCCATGCGACAGGCCTGTCAAAAAAACCGTATCAAGTGATTTAATCCAAACCCTGGATTGTTATTTCAGGCAACTTACCAATATACGATCGAAGGCGCTGGGGTTGCCGCCACGCTGCACATGGCCCAGCACAGTGATGCGAGCATCGTGTTTAAGACGCTCATCAATCACCTTTCGCACATCCTCAGCGGTAATTGGGTTGCCTTCGCGATCCATGGCGCCCTCCGCAACAATAACAATGTTCAGGCGTTGGCCAGCCTTACGTTCCTGTTTTCAGACAAATGCAGCAATTGTTAGATGAGGCTCTCTATGCGATTCTCAAAGATGAGCTTCAATGATATTAGTAACTCGTGTGTACACATAGAATGTCATCAAAAGCAATGAGGAATGAATTATGTTAAGTAAAGTACCAAAAAATACACAAGATATGTAGACAAATGCGTGATGTATGTATTGATGTACGCAAGGTAGTAAATGTAAAAGTGAAAATGTACATATAAATGGGGTTAGACAACGTATGAGTGTGTGACTGAATAGAGGCAAGAATATGTGTAAAGCTATAAGATGCGAAAATAAACAACTAATAAACAAGGAACCGAAACATATAGTATTTTTATGTGTATATATATATTGGTATATTTACTGGTCAAGCTACGTACGCGTGTACGACAAAAACAAAATAGAAGCCAATTAAATTGCCCAGCAAATTGTGACACTACACTTAAACCCAATGAAAGCCAATTAAATAGCCAATTGATTAGTATTTGCTAGAATCAGTGTGACAAGGAGCTGCAGCTCTTTGCACAACTGTTAAAAATGTTAGAATTTAAAATCATATTTCTTAAATAGTTATATCGAATACTTAATGGTTTATATATAATTTAAAAGAATTGAAAAATTTGTTTAGTTCGATTAAAGAGAAACGAAAACACCGTCGTACAAAGTAGACTAATAAACCTAAACGTTTTGCTGACCTGAACTAGCTTCTGGCATAGAGAATCCTGCCAGTTAACGGCAACGGGCTCTTCGGGTATTAACATAAAATCAGCTTCTGTAGCGATAGCTGCTGAAATTGCTAAATAGCTAAAAACAAACCAAAAATATCAAACACAGAAACGATGCGCAATGCAATGAATTGTTATATAATTGATCATAATTATTTACAATATGCTAGGAGGGGGCGGGGAATAGGGAAAATCGTGGGCTGAGGGGCAACACACACATCCAATTGGGGGATCAGGAAGATATATATATATATGGCTGATTATTAAGAGAATGTGGTTAGCCTTTGCTGCAAATATCTCTGACATGAGCTCAAATAAATACTGATGAAAGCCTCGCCATACTAAAACCAATCACATTTCGAATAGATTTCAAAAGCAATAAGCAAAATATAAACTCAAATTGATGTACGATATATTTATATATATATATACATATATCAAGGCTGCAAAACGGATTTGAGCCGAGGTATCTAATATCTGATTTACCATGAACCTAAAACTGAACCAAGCCAGATTTTCCCATAACAATATTTTTATATATTATTAATAAATATTATTGCCAAATTTGTTAGTTTTTAATATGATTGATTTCAATGTGAAAAATAATGTAGATATAACCAATTTAATATATATAAAAACTGTATTTGTATTATGGAAAAATGTAACGAAATGCGTGAGCCCAAAACCTGGATTCACAAATGCGCAAAACGAAGCGAGCTTTAAAGGAGAGAGATGGGTTTGAACCGTGAACCGACCCATCAAACAATCTTCATCTTTTTTATGGGTTTGCAGCCTTGATATACATATATAATGTATGTGTGTGTGTGTGTGTGTAAGATGAGTATATATTCTACCATGTTCTGTTGTGTTTATATTCAGAAGGAAAAGCATATATGAGAGAGAGAGCAAACGCACGGAGAATGTGTGTTTGGGTGTAAAAAAGTATAAAAGAAATTAGGTTCACATCTTGCCTGAGCTAATTGAAAGCAAAGCCTATCTGGCCAATCGGTTTTCGGTGGCATTTCGGGTATAAATATGAAATCGGCCTCGCTGGACAAACCAGCAACGAGCGCTAAATAACTGCAAAAATATGTTGTATTATATAGTTGGTTATACATAAAAGTTATAAAAGTATGTTAGAATAGGAATAAAAGGTAGACAAAACGGGGGTGGGGCAGAAAGAGTTAAGAAGACGACATTCGCAAGAAACTTTGAAAGGACACTCAAAAATGAAGATAGATAACATATCAGGAAGTTAAACAATATATATAATAAACAACCTAAAGAATTGCACATTGAGTTCCATTTACTTAGTTTATATTCAGACTGGTAGATGCAATTATTTGAGTGCATTTTGTTATAAAACCAGGTGAATCCAATTTCTGAATATATTTACATAAGATCACCTGCTAGCTAATTAAATATTACGTCTTTTTGGTCATAAAAATTAAATGGAAAGGCAATTCGAGTATCTCAAAGCGAATCTGAAGCCCCTAGACTATAGTCAGAGTTATGAAGAGAACATTCAATGCTTGAATTGGAAAAGAGAGAGAACAAAGAGCGATTCCGATCTGTCGACAGAGACATATTTGATAGACAAAAAAAAAATGTAAGAGACATTCATCGATCTGGGTTTCTTGCCTGTTCCAGTTTGAGTATCAGTCTATCGGGCCAATCTTGCGGAGGCGGGGACTCTGGCAGAAAAACATAATCTGCCTCGGATATAATGCCAGCTACAACTGGTAAATAGCTGTGAGGTATATTGAAGGCATTTAACATAATCGCTAATTAACAAATCAAAAATTGCACTAACACTTCTCTTAAGTAGTTACAATCGCACATTAATTATATATTACATCCGGCAATCCGACAACAAATGACTTACCCGCAATGACGACCCATGACCTCCATAATGAAGGTGCGCTGATGGGAGTAGGCCGTGCTGGAAATGGCGTCGATCGCCTCGATAATGCGATGCAGTGCGGTGTCCGTGCCGATGGTCATGTCCGTGCCGCAGAAGTCGTTGTCAATCGATCCCACCTAGAACCAACGAATAATGGGATCAATATGGATTCGAGTGGAGTGGAGCGAAGGGGCGACTTACCAGGCCGACGATATGCAGCACATTGTACTTCTCCTTCTGCTCGCTAGTAATGGTGCCATTCTTCGAAAGCTCGTCCAGCAGGCTGGACCACTCCTGACGAAACAGATTGGCGCCAGTCAGGGAGCCATCGCCGCCAATAACCACCAGATTGGTAATGCCCCGCTGTATCAGGTTGTTGGCGGCCTTCAGGCGACCCGCGCGCTCACGAAAGTCCTGGCAACGGGCGGAGCCAATGATCGTGCCGCCACGGTGTATAATCGACGAGACCGAGGCCCACGATGCTTCCTGGATACAGTCACCGCCATCGACCATGCCCTGGTAGCCTTCCCGGATAAAGTAGACCTGGTTTCAAGGAGTATCGATACAAAATTGAATATGAATTGGATGTAGGAATTTAATATAAGCAACTTTTGACTAAATATGATATGATTAGACTCGATTAATTAATTTAAAATTTGTTTGTTTTTCTTTTAAACTAAACTAATTTAATTATTAGTTTATTGAGGTTCCAAATTAAAATGTTAAACCCATTTATTTTTTGGAAAGTTACGATTTTTAATAAGATTTTAAAAAGTTCTAGTCTGAGAAAAGGATCATTCCAGTTTTATCGATCGCCATTTATATATATATATATATATACGTATATATATAGATATGCACAGTTAGTTTAACACTTATCAGGTTAAATATGCGATAAAACTTGGAATCGTTTAAAAATAAGTTTATGAGTTAACTAACCCACGTTATTGTCGAGATAATGTCATATCCATGTTTATGATGTCATGACCTTTAATACAAGGAACCGCAGGTTGAGCTTATAACGATTTCAACATTTTAGTATGCTTTTACAAATCAATTTCAACATCTCTTAGAATATAACTAATCTGGACTTTCTTGAGACTATAAAACAAAAGTGAATGAATGAAAATGAAAGTGACTTTGAAAATAAAATAAGACATTAACGAAAAAAGCCTTGCGACAATTTATTCCATTGCAAAAATCATCATAAAACCACTTCAAGAAATTTATATCAATTGCAATTATTTAAATTCAAACATTTTTTTAGTAATTTATATCAATTGCAATTATTTAAATTTCGACAAAATGTTCTCAAAATCAAACGGACAAATAAAAGGCAAACTCTCCTTTTTCTTTTCGCCGTTTGCCAATCAATAAACCGAATAAATAAATAATTCCCTTTTCAAACAATAAACGCAATTTCTCAGATATTTCTGCGTGATCGTCTGTAAGTTGCCCGAAATAAACTCAATGTCAAAAGCACACAGATACGAGCTGTGTGCGTGTGTGTGTGTATTGGTGTTTGTATGGTTGTAGTTGTGGGGCGCTTTTATTCAATTTGAATATTTCGCCTTTTTTTCGCGGTGCGACATGGGTTATCTAACGGCACTTGACACCTGCAGAACAAGCTAATTTGTTTAATTGGTTTAATTATGTTTAAATTGCTTTGACTCGACAAGAATTGAGAGCAAGTGCGTCTATATATATTTTGGTACATAATATTTATAGAGAGTTTGTAGACCCTAAAGTTCAATGCCTCAACTTGCTCCGCTGACCGATAAGAATATTGTGAATAATGTTTGTATGTGTATGTGTGTGTGTGTGTGTGTGTGTGTGTGTGTGTGTGTGTGTGTGTGTTGGTGTGCATTTGTATATACACCAGTGTAAAAGCACTTGGCAGAGGTCACAACTCACCTTGCATCCCAAATAGATGGCCATACGCACACAGGCTCTCACTGCCGCATTCATGCCCTGCGAGTCGCCGCCGCTGGTGAAGACGGCCAGGCCCTTGTCACGCTGCGAGCCGCGTGCCAGGAAACGTTGGTTAATATCACTATTCATTTTCGTTCAGTTTTAGTTAAGTCAAGTTAATCGATTCAAAGAACAACGGTAAAACACGCACACGCACACACACACACAAACACAAGCGAACGCGAACGTAGCGAAGTCCAAGTCTGAGGCAGCGAATACTTTGTGAATGATTCACAATAGGAGCTGCGAGGAAGCCGAGTTGTCCAAAAATGTTTTTAATCGAAATCTTATGCTGCCGCAGATGCCGTGATGCCTGCGCGACGATTTTCAGTAACTGGGTGCGAGAGCGGCGGACTGTCGGTCGGTCGAGCACAGAAGTTTCGGTTTTGACGTTTCAAGGTGACCTTTAAACGCAGCAAACACTTTTCGCTAAGCGCAACTGGCCGACGCCACTGATGCAATGAACTGGTTGTCTGGCGTATTTGTTCGCGTTGCGCTGACTCGATTTGGGCGCTGTTGCACTCGTCGCGATTTTTGACAATATGTTTAATTAATGCAACTAATTAGAACGGTTTATGCGGCCGGGTTTCGCTATCAATTTGTGCCTATTGTGGGCGATTTACGCTATCGGACTCTTTTTTGTTTACCCCACCACATTCAAGTGAGTGTCACAATGACAGCTGTGCAACAGCTGTGCGCGACTAACGGATAAAAGCTCTCTCTCTCTCTCTCTCTCTCTCATGCTGGCGAGCTTTTGCGCGCGCTTCGTGAACGCCCACATGAGTGTCGTAGCCGTTAGCTTTTTGAACGTTAGCCGTTGCTCACTTGTTACTTACATAGGGATAAAGTGGCTTTACATAGTCCAAAACATCCTGGAAGGTGCGTATGCATTTGCGTAATTCCTTTAGCTGCTCTTCATTTGCCATATCAGATTTTCTGTTCATTGATTTGGGGTTGTTTTCAACACCGCAGCTCATCTGGACCAGCTGCAAGACGGGGAGATCGATTATTTTTATAAAAATTTTGTCTACAATCAGATCTACACACATTTCTCCTGATTTTAGGATGGAAGTTCGAACCCCAATATTTCAAAAACAGCAAACAATCTGAATTTAAGAACTCAAAAACATGTAAGCCCTTCTTGTTAATTGAATCATTTACGCACTGATCCTGCCTCGCCAGCCTCTCAGTTTGATAATTCGTCCATTTCGTATACTCCCTCTCAAAACTGGGAAACTGGGATAAGTGCTGTATCAGCTTTGATGGCAATTGATGCTTACTTTTTGATAAATTCGGTGCTCTCTGAACCCCACGGAGCAGCAGGACTGTTGACTGCATTAAATATCGACAACACATCGACAAGATATTTGGACAGATAATTTTGATACAATTCTAGATCGTGTGCCCGTAGAGCCATCAAACAGTTATACTTTTCCACCGAATCCGTACAGGTTTCCATGCGTAATCTAAATCTCTTCAATCTCTCCGCGCAGCTGGGTCGCATATCTTTGATCTGTTGCGGTTGTCGCGTCCATAGCTCATTTTTCAGCTGCGAAGCGAAATATATATATATATTATATTATACAATATTTGATCTATTGATTGATTTACCTTATTTATTTGATTCAAGTTCAAATTGTTGTCCAATTGATAAGATTTCGATAATTTGCGATTAATGGGACAATGCTGGGTCTTTGGCAATCGATCCTGTGGTTGGGCAAAGCTATGGGATATACATTTAAAAACTATGTCCAATTCTTTTGGCATTATCTCAGACATACCTAGCTTTAAATTTTATAAACACTCGAAATTTGATTGGATGCATACCAAGTTAATAAAGGTCCAAAACATCTGTTGTTTCGCTTTTAAATCGCATTTTAATTTCAAATATAAATGTTAAAATGTAAATGTATACCAAAAATAAAAGCCCACTCGATTATTATTTGATACACAGAGAGAGAAGCCTAAATTATAATATTTAAATCGATTTGAAACAAAACAACAAGCTGGTCTTGGGCCCAGTTTTGTTTATCTGAAAATCCAACACATTAAAAAGTTCTGAGTTGAGTTCCATTTGGAAAGAGATCAAATTTAGTCGGCAATATCTGGATGAACATTTTGTGGGACTTGCGATAATTTACAGTGGAACAGGCCATTATAATCTTGAAATTAAATTGATTCAATAAAGAAGTTAAAGTTAAAGGTAAATAAGGCATATAAGGGTTTTTTTTATTTCATCAAAATGTTGTTCCAGTTTGATTATATAAAAGAATGACATACAATATAGGATAGAATTGTTCTTAATTCGTCAGCTCTTTCTTCTCGCCCCGCTCCCCCAACAATTGCATGACGAACATTGAGTAATTAAATGAGTTCTTAGCACATTTGCAGCTATCGCATTATCGAACGTCAGTATTTCCCTGCATTAAAAATAATTGGAGTTTAATTAAAGGAATATTTAAATTGGCATACTATTACGTTAAAAAGTGTATCAGTATATCAGAAGAATCGATACTAATGAGAACACCGCAGCAAAGTCGTGTATGCCATGAAATTCGCATAGAAAGGCGCTATTTGAAAAATAAAATGTCATTTAGTTTTGAAATATTTTGAGTAGTTGTTCCTATTAATTCGTTTTTTTTTTCAGATTGAGATCCTTGGGGAGCAATAGGTTAGGATAGGGGCAAGTGCTTAACTTACATATGATTAGACCTTTTTATTACGCTTTCCGAAGTGCATATACAGGACATAAAAGTGCTGTGGTGTTAGCATTAAGGCTTTGTTAAAATATCGACTCGGTTTTGTTGCTTTCACACTCCCTTGCACAGCCGAGCTGGTATTCAATATTTCCGCCTTGGAGCTGGATCCAACTGGAGCTGGAAGTGAGTCATTTTTTGAATTGTCATTCAAGTGTTTGCGTAGATAACTCATGGTATTGAGGACATCCAGTTGTTTGGTGGTCAGATCGTTGCGCTGTGTCTTAACACTTGGGTCAGAAATTAAACGGATTATATACACCTGGAATTTGGGTAGTTATTGTGGCTTACTTGTTTAAAATCATTGTGGCCATGCGACAGAAGTCATCGACGATGCCGTCGACCGAACTGATAATGGACAAAACCTCGGTGGTATTATCGCACATATAACGGTAATACAAATCGAGATTCGAGTCCCGCAATTCCGCTAAGTATTCATATTTTTTAACTGGATCGGTACAGTTAGTCATTCGGTTTTTAAATGCCGCCATGCAACTAGAACCGAAAAGGACACGAGAGCGAGACGTTTGTGTATTTAGATCCTTTCTCTTAAAGGATTCATCATCGTGCTTATAATCCTTATGCTGGTAACGATTTAGGCAAATGGAACGGCATTTTGTTGGAATATCAAATATCCTGTGGCGAAATCTGAATAATATTTCACATTTATACTTGATGGCATCGCAGCGTACCTAGCCTTGGATTTTGTCAATACTTGAAATTTGAGGTTATGCATTCCTAATGTTTATTTAATTTTGAGGCAAATCAAGAAATGTCTGGCATGCTATGCTTATGCTTAGCTATAAATTGAAACAATTGTTCGCTTGCTTTTTTTATTTTTATTTGTTTTTTTGTTTGTTTTTTTTTTTTTGTTTTTCTTTTGGTAATTAAGAAACTGTAATTTCAATAAACTTAAATTTTCACATCAATCTTTGCCTCCATTATGCATACAATTAATGTGTGCTCACTGTTATATTTTTTTTGTTTTGTTTTTTTTTTCATTATTATTATAACTCATTTTGGATCATTTAAGTGTTGTATGTATTATGTTTTGCAGTTTCATTGATTATTCGACATTTTTAGCGTTGCGACAAAAACATAACCTCACACATATATATATATATATATATATATATATATATATATTTATGTATATTGTAAGCGTAAAATTCAATTGCGAAAATATACAGTTACTGTTCTTATGCACACACACATGAATACAAATACACATTTGCATACGATTTGAATTTCCTGGACAATAATAGTATGTATACATATATATATATATATATGTAGATGTGCATATATATGTGTATTATCGGTTTGTTGTAGCTCTTGTCGTCTTGAATTAAAATTGAATATACTTAGCTTTCAATATAGGTATTTTCGATTTTGATTAGTTATCATTTCCTGTTCTTTTGTTACTGCCAGTTGATGAAGTTGATGAACTCAACGAAACGCCTCGATGAACAAAACTAAATGTGTATGCACACACATACATGCACACATATGCATGCATGTGTGTATGTATGCTCGTACGTATGTATGTATCAACAATAAAGCAATATGTTGATGTTAGATGAGTTTAGCAGCATCTTAAAGCCAATGCCAATAATTGGCATCGTTCGAAAAATAAATTTAGTTTTTATGATGTATTTTCACTTGCTTCACACACCGGTTTTTTCTTTTTTCTTTTTGTTTGTTTGTTTTTTTTTTTTTTTTTTTTTTTTGAGGGGGTTTACATCGAAACACATAGATAATAATAATAGAAATAAAACACTGAGACATTTAAGTATAACAATTGCACATTGATATTGTTATATTGCTGTTGCTTTTGCATTTTGAATAATTGCATATAAGTAAGTATTATATAAGTACGCTATAAATATTAATCGCATCGATACGATATATTCTTTTGATCCAGCTGGGAAAAGCCCTGGAATTTTTTTTTACTTTTTGCTTATTTTCCCGACAATCAATCAATTGATTTGCATGCAAAGTTGAAAAGTCAACAAAAAATGAAAATTCCAACTACTGGCACAATAGAACTTATGCCTCTAAAGCTATCCGAAATCTTGTCCTGCCCATTGAGTGGACATTCGGGATATTTAAATTTTGTCAATCTTCCTTGGCTTAACTTTGCAATTGGAAAACTAATAACAATTAAAACTATAGGCAACAGTTTTGAGATAACTTTTAACTGCATTCTAAATGCAAGACTTTGAGGTTTAATGAACGAACTCAAAATGTAATATAAAATATATAATATAAATTAAAGTAAAAGTTAAGGTTTATGTTGTTTTTGTTTTTATTTGTTGTTGTATTTTAGAAAAAAAAGAATTACAAATAATACATAATTTGTTTCTTTTGGTTCGCATGGGGCTCTGCAGCAATGCAGATTGTTCTTGATTGACGACGAAAAATAAATGGGCATTATTTGTAATTACATAGATTGTATAAACCAATTATAGCCTTTGTTTGTTTGTTTGTATTTTTTTTTTAAGGAAAGCGACGCAGCGCATTAAACAAAAATAAAAGACAAGAAATTTGTATATTTTTGTGTTGAGTGTGTCTTGTGTTCTGTATGTTAATATAAAACAAAATGATAATTATTTATTAAAACATAATTATAATAAATAATATTACTTTTAGGCATATGTATAGTGTACGCAATTGGCCGAAACAGCGGAATAGTAATATTTAACTACACAAAACGAAATTCACACATCATTGCCATACACACACGAACTGTAATTCCTCTTGTTCTTGTTAGCTGATCATTTTATTTATATAATTATATAAGATTTGATTCGGATAGTTTCGATTTTGAAATTTGTTTATGAATATTTGCAAGAGCATATTACTTTATAACAAAGACAACTTGAACGGCATGTGAAGCAAATTAAGACGTTTGGGTTTCATTAACATTTTCTTTTTTATAGACTTTAATCAGCTTTCCTTTTAGGTTCTTCTCATTTAACAATACTGGCTCGAATACATTTTCCTATTGCAATCGATTGCAATTTGTATACAAGTTAAACATACCGCCTAAGCCAGATTCTGTTGGTTGTATGACAATAGTCCGTCTGCTCTTCTACACATCTCTCAGCCTCAAACTATCATCACACAGCCACAACAAGCTGCATCAGTATCCTGCTGTATTGTTCAATGTTTAATGTTTGATGTTGTTTTGTTTAGTTTGTGTTTGTGTTTGTGTTTGTGTCGATGCTGATGTTGATTTGATGTTGCTTTTATTATTATTACATTACTGCTCTGCTGCGTTCGACTCCCAAAGATTTGTTTTTATATTTCTTTTGTTTTGTTTGTTGTTTGTTTTGTTTTGTTTTGTTTGTATTACTGAATAATATTTGCATAGTCAAAAAGGAAACTTTTTAGTTGTTTGGTTAGTTGTCACCGCCCTCCTGTGGCTCGTCGCCATCGCCCTGGGTATCGGAGGTCCAAAGAGTCAGGTTATCCCTCAACAATTGCATGATGAGTGTTGAGTCTTTGTATGAGTCCTCGTTCAGTGTGTCCAGCTCGGCTATCGCGTCATCGAACGCCTGTTTAAAACACAATAAGTAATTTAGTATACGAACTAAAACAAATACAACAATAACAATATGCAAAATGCCGGCAAGGTAAATGCAAGTACAAGTTCTTGTTCAAGTGCAAAACGAAAGCATTTCAATTCAATTAGAGGAATATATATATATATATTTTTAGTATTGGATTTATAGTACCTTTTGTTTCAGTCAGCAACGAAGCGTAATAATTGAAATCAAAATATAATAATTAAACATATTTAACTAGCAGAAACTCAAAAAATAATATACTATATGTCCTAACGGTTAATGCACTTTCTCTTACAACCAATTAATAACTTCACCAGCAAGATTTGGACCGCATTTTCAAGTGGTTAACAGGAACATAAGCCAGGCTTTCAATATACGTAACATGCGAATTAATCGAGAGCTTAAACGATCGTATATACATAGATATATGTTGTATACATTCCTCTATGCGATAGATTTATTTAAACAGCAAAGTTCCGAATGTTAGTCACATAACAGCAACAGTTAAACAATTAATTAAGGAACAAACATTAAGTGTGTAGAAAGAAATTGAACCTGTTTAGCTAAATGACAAGCCCTCGCTGGTGAATTAATAATTTCGTAATAGAAGACGGAAAAGTTGAGTGCAAGACCTAATCTGATTGGATGTGTTGGCTGCATTTTAGTTTTTGCAATATCGAATGCCTCTTGATAAGCTTTTTTCGAGTCCTCAACGACGTCTTAAAATATGTACATTATTATTGGCACCAAAAAAAAAGATAAATAAAAAAACACAATGAAACAAAAAGAAAATAAAGAACCATAGTTCACAATTAGTTTTCGATATGATAAACACATTCAAAAATTATATACGACTTAAAGTTATAAAGAATTGAAATGGTTTTTTTGTTGCACTTGGCTTGAATCTTGCTCGCCTGCCAGACAATTGGCACTTGAATATTAACCTGTTTAGCCAATTGGCAAGCCTTATCTGGAGAATTCAAAATCTCATAATAGAAGACTGAGAAGTTAAGTGCAAGACCCAAGCGGATGGGATGTGTTGGCTGCATTTTGCCCTTGCTAATGTCAAATGCATCCTGGTAAGCGGTTTGGGAATCGGAAACAACAGCTGCATTTTTGTGAACACACAAAGAGATAAAGTTTACGTTTTGTTTTTTAAGATCTTATTAAGGTCTAAGGTGTACTTGTAATAAGCCGCCTTTTGATACTTACTGTTGCGTGCGTCTCCTGTGGCGACCTCAGCTAAATACCTGTAATAATCTCCCTTCATCTTCAAATAGAAAACCTTGCTTTCTGGATTGCTGGCTTTTGGAATAAGATATTTGTCCAGAAGTCCCTGTTAATTAAAAAGAAGAAGATAGCAAATTATAAATATACAACCTGATACAACCTGAGCCACAGTTAAAAAAAAACAATAAGAAAACATAACCAACATGAATCTGAAGGCCTGAGACAATCTCTAAGCATATAAATAAACATTTCTAATTGCTTGGCGCACAATAAGCTCTGCTATTAATCCAAAATTATGCCAGGCGAGCACAGCTTACCCCACCCCACCCCACCACACACTCAACCTGGTACAAGAATAAATACATATACAGCATATGGTGTGTGGGTGTGTGTGCCTGTACGTATGTATGCCAATTTTACAGTCGACTGCGGCACTTCAAAGTGTTATCGATTTTCTGTCACCAAAGAGAAAGGGAAGCCCAACAGTGTTGCCAAGCGCCGCCACAAAAATTAGCTGTAGCCGCTGTTGAAAATAGCTAAAAGCAGCTAAAACGGCCGAAATCTATTTCTTAGAACAAATTAAAGCCCACTTTCTAGTACTCGTTGATGTACAAAATAAAAAGCTAAAAAGCGAATTTAGCTAGAAAATAACTGAACTGGCAACTCTGACGTTAGCGCCAGCCCCAATCCAAAGGGAAGGGCTAACATACACGCATATTGGGCGTTTATATATATGTGCGTCGCACTTTGATTTATTTTTAAACTCTGAGGCTTTTTTACTTAATAGGTCAGCGGGTGTGTCAATTTAGTTCAGCTTTAAAATATGGCCGAGCACCTTTAGCAAAAACTGTAATTAAATTGATATTAATCAAGCCAAGTTGCTGGGCCATTGTTGCTGTTGCTATCTAATCTTGACGTTTATTTATAAAAGAAGTGCGCGCGTGTGTGTGTATATGGGGTGTGCTGCGATAGGATGTGCAGTGTGACAGCAGCAACATGTCTGGAAAATTTTTTTTAAAAATAGATTTATTGATTGTAATACAATTTGCTGCACACACATCCACACACATCCACACACACCCACGCAAATCGCACACTGGGCCCCTCTGATTGTAATTTCAAACTAGCCCTAACAAACCTGGCACAGCAATAGCTATATACGCAGCTGTATATGATACGGTTATTTTTTTTTTATATATAAAACTGGATGCTACCACCCATCATCTGCCCATCACCCGCCGCCACCGACGCCCACAGGCAATGGGGAATAGGACCTGCGCAGTGCACAGCCGCAACAGTGGGGCGGCTGTCAGGGCTCATCATAATTTGCTTATCTTTGGGAGTGAGGAGGATGGAGGCTAACAATGTTCACGGTCACGGGCAGGAGAGTAAAATAGAGTAGTGTGGAGTAGGGTAGAGTTGGGTGGAGCTAGCTTTACGTACCAGAACTTCATAGCAAATTTCTCTAAGCTCCTTCTCCACACGCTCTCTGTACTCGCGGGCGAGCTGTTGTTTTCTGGCGGATGCTTCGGTTTTTTGCTCAATGGAGGAAATAACACGCCACGATGACCTGTTGTTATATATAATTGATTATTAGATACATGTAAGTCGTATATGTTAAAAGTCAGTTGTCGTAATGCGACATTTACCTGCGCGCTCCAACCACATTTTTGTAGGCAACGGAGAGCAGATTTCTTTCCTCATTTGACAGCTCGACGCCCGTCTCTGTGACTGATTTCATGGCCTGGGCCATGTCATCGTAGCTATAATCGAATTGTAAAATTGAATTATTTATTTAATGCTTTGATCTTTGCAATAGCACAAAAGCACTTACCGCTCTGATTGCTCGGCCAATTTTGCCTTCTGGACCAGTTCTTCCTTATCGACTGTCGACATTTTGTGGTTTTTTTTTTGTTTTTTAGTTACTTGACCAAACTAATAATATGAATAATTTGTGTATGTGTGTCGGTGTGTGTGTGTGTTCACGACCTCTGTTGCAGTTGATAGACAGCAGAAAAATGAATTAAAGTAAGAGGAATCCACAGCTCAAAGCGTCGCTCACAGTGTGTGACTGGTTATCTGGAATAAAGCGAATATATATATAGATATATAAATTCAGTCTTTTAATACTAAATTCAATTGAATTTCCCACGCGGCACATCCATTATTAATTGGCAACCTGTTCGAGTAAAACGCCCAAACACTCGCAATTTTCTTTTTACGATTATGTTTTAGGGGAATTTAGAATTCTATTCTGGCGAGGAGCCACCCACATCTTAATTGGAAAGCTACGATTAATTCATTTATTTTACTTCGCCAAGTTTCAATACGTATATCCTTTGGCAATACACACACACCACACACGCACACACTTATACAAACTGGCATACAGCTACACAAAAGCGGAAACCCGAATAATTATCTGCCGCTGCTATGTTGCTCTTCCGACCAGGCCCGAAACTCGACTAAAACGAGAACTTGCCCGCGTTTGGCTGTGGCGAAATGGCCAAAAGACTGAGCTGGTGCGAAGGAGCAAAGCTTGCCGGCGGTGTAGGCAAGCGGCAGGACTCGCATGCACATAGCAGCTGCGCGTTGCAAACTTCTGATGATATTGAAATATGTTCGCGGCAAAAGGATATGGCTTAAACAAGTTGTGTGTCTACATGGTAATAAAAACTTGCCATATATATATATAGAAATACATACATATATACATGTACATGCATATACATATGTGCACATGCTAAAGGATTTCAATTTGCATTGAGCAGTCATAAGATGAGTCAAAATTTAACAGCTTTGTTTTCGAGTTCACAATATTCATGTGCTACAATTAGCATTAATATATAAGTATAGTATATACATATAAATATATACATGTATGATGACTGAATCATCGAGAGCTTGCCATATCAGTATTGCATTTAATTTCAATCGCAAGTATTTTTAACATAACACGTTGAGTATAAAGTAGTGGAAAGAGTTGTTGCTTAAACCCGCATTGATGATAAATAATGAAAAATATCTAAACGCAACGCTTGCCTGGTTTTAATGTCAATAAATTTGCGTTTTATGGTAAACAGCCAGTGAGTCACATGCTAACATTTGGGTTTTATATTTAACATGCATGTTATGATGCCAAAGGGTAACCTGTTGCCTTTGACTAACGGCTGAATGCTTCCAGCTACATGGCTTTATGTGCTGGCATTACATAAATATTGATTGATTGTTATTTATAAATACACGGCGACTGAGGCTGATTGATACATTTTCCATTATCCTTGGGGGGACGGACTCTACAAACGACATAACGACAAAATTATCCCCAAGGAAGCTCCGTCAGGAGGACATTTGCCCTGGCTTTTAGCATAATGTGCTTTTGACAGGTACAAACTGGGTTTGTGTGTCTATGTGTGTGTGAGCTGTATTGAAGGGTGTGTGTTTGTTCGTGTGCGTGGGTGTGTTCCAGTTTGTGTTTGTGATTTAAATTGTTTGTGAATACTATTACACGTGCCCTGGCTTTTGGCGATAAATCTGCTTGTTTAGTGAGGCCCAACTTCGAGATGCACATTGATACGAGCGCAATGGACATGGGGAATGTTAAAAAGGCGAGAAAAAAAAGCAGCGGCCACGACAAGCAAATGGAATGAAAAAACAAAAAACAGAAAATAAACCAACATACATACACATTGAGAGAAAAGTTAAAAATAAACTATGAATAAAAATTGAAAATGAAATAAAAGAGAGAAATCTCTGGCTATGTGTGTGTGTGTGTGTGTGTGGTATGTGAACAAGCACACATACTAATAAATATGTACATATATATGTATATACATTACTTGTATGTATTCAGATGTCAAAGATAAATGCACAATGACCCCAATGCACAAATCTCAACATGGCAACAAAACTTAAACAAACCTTGTAAAGATCTCAAATTATGGGCATCCAATAATATTAGCATTGTAACTTATTGGCAAATAATTATATAGATACTTATATAGACGTATACATCTGTAAGTACATGTAGTTCATTAGGCACCCACCCACTTGTTATCCTATTCTGTAAACGATCGCATCCGACCGTCAAAATTTAAAACATTGAACCTTAGACAGCACACAAGTGCAGGTAAACATACATAAGTACATGTACATGTATGTATGTGCATACCTACATACCCAACTACTAAATGCGATGTATGTACATACATATGTTTGTATGAATAGCAATTTTTGGCGTTGCTCGTTTTTAGGTCAATTGACGTGTTTTTCGTACAGTTATTGACAAAAATAAATAAAAGAGATGAAAACAAAAGCTAAGCAGACCGCAACGGCGGAGTTTGGCTATGATTTTAATTTGAACATTCCAAAAGTGTTATGTATGTATGTATGTATGGTACATATGTATGGGTGCTTTTAAATAGCTATACACCCAGGCAGCCACTCCCGCCTTTCGATAGTGGAGCCCGCAGCAATGGAGCGGATTGTATGCGTCATGGGCTGTGTCATTTTTTGGATATGCCTCACAATGAGGAAGTAGTGTGCGACTGCAAGAGGCGATCACAAACTATTTTTAATGTAAAAGTGTATGCACATTTGTATGTGTTCATATGTTAGCTGACACATACATGTGTGTACGTTTTAGCAATTGTGTTTCATAAAAAAGTAGAAGAAACCCGCTAATAATTAGCGAAATGTCAGTGCGACGTCGGCGGCATTGGCTTCGGTCACTGGTACAGATTAAAGATAACGGCAAATAAAATTCGAAACCGTTTGTTGAATTCTGCGATGACGGCAACTTTGAGTGCTGCAAAACGGCGCTGGCCTATGCGAATACCAGTATGTACATATGTGTGTTGCGAGTGTGTTGGAAAACACACCACACCGGGCGGCAAAGTGTAAACTCACCACACCGGCCCCATGAGGTCGTCGCGACAGAGATTCGGCTACATGCGCAGTACAGAAGAAAAAATACGACTATAGAGAAATGCAGATAAGCACAAAATTCCAATACACAACGATTTTGAAAAATATACACCTCAAGACAGCTTTCAATAGTTATATTGCATGCCTTTTATATATATTTAACATTTTTGAATCGGTTAAAGAATTTAAAAAGAAAGAAATCAAATTATATACATATTGTCAAATGAATGTACGTACATATGTACATAAGCTGACAAGAAACAAGTGTGTCTGCAACATATTGAAGGGGTGGGTGGTGAAGAGCACGCAACAAAATGTATAAAAATAATCCCACCGGAGAGAACGATAAAGAGAACACACTTCCAAACGGGCAAAGACAGCAGCGGTTGCGAGAGCAGTGCGGCATAAAAGAACACGTAACCGCGTGTGTCGTCAACTTACATACATATATATGTACATTTAATGTACATACGTACGTACAAATGCTCGTATATCTATTTAGATACACATATGCAGGTATATATTATAACATACATGTATGTATATATGAATTCTTAAATATATGTATATGTATGCATTTGTGGTGAATTGTGACGCAGCAAATCCAATAAAAACCAAATTAGCGATGTACGTTTATAAATGCATATACATCAATATATATGTAAGTGTATATAAAAGGAATCCAAAACGATTTATTTTCAACGGATTTTTCAAAACGACGCTTGCAGCACACTTCTCTAAGGCAAATGTGCATATGCGTAATACATTCGGACTGGCGTACTCACACATACATACATTCGTTCGTTCGTATGCATGTGTGTTAGCTATTGACGACTAAAACGCCTAGCGACCAGAACACACTTAAGCACCACAATTCGCCTTCGCATTAGCCAAGTCAGTTGTTGCCACGGCCGCCAACAATCAACCGAAAGCACTGAAAATACGAAGCTACAAACGAATCTCACTTCTACATATACACACACATACACAAATACAAAATTTACCAATACTCATGCAAAGCGGGCATTTGTACATACGTATGTATTTTTTGCACAAATTCACAGTTCTGAACATTTTCGACTTTTTGCGTAGTATTTTTATCGATCGTTCAATGGAAGCATGTAGAAAAATTTTCATGCATGCGGCGTTTGCACATGTCTCGATGAATTGAAAAATATCGAAGATATTAAAGTTGCATAAACTACCGATATGCACATGTTTATTGCATCGCCTTAAATTGCTTAAGGTTTTATAATTAATATATACATCTCTCAGTACATATATTTCGCCCCATATTACTAATGCAAATTGGTTACCTTACATTCGATTCACTCGAAACGACAACGACGACTATCAACGAACGGCGAACGACTAAAAGTGACGGCAAATGTTGCACACAGTAAGCGCTGTATCTGTGTGTACGCCTCTTTACACACATTTATATATACACAAATAGGCGGCAGCGCATGCCGCTACACCAGACGAGAGAGTAAAAGAGAGAGAGAAAGAGAGAGCGCAGAGTCGAAATAGGTAAAAATGAGTAAATACCAGTAAGTGTTGCCAACCTGGCCGCAAAACAAAGTTGCCAGGTGTGACACAAGTGAAATGAGTTCGTTAAGTTTCAAATGACCTGCTGTTGTTATGCTGAAATCACAATTTGGAGCATACCATTACTAAGAATAAGGCAGATTGGGTTATTGCCGCTTGTAAATTAATTACTAATTATGCATTTAGGCGTAGCGCACTTTTTGACGTTAAATGCCAGTAGTTACAATTTGTTGGCCCACTACAAGTTGCAGTTTGTGTGTGCATGACGCATGCCACAGAAATGTTGGGGAGGAGCTTGGCGGGCGTTTGCTGCTGTCGTCAATTGTGCGCAATTGTCGTTTAATTGAGTAATTTGAATGAGACGTACGTCCGTATGTTAAATTTTTAAATTCGAATGTTACCGAGTTGTATTTGTGGCCTTGTACGTGTCTATTTGCGCTTTGTAAAATTTATCAACATTTGCAGTTTACAATGAAGAAGCTAATACATACTTGCAGTCAAATATGAAAGTAATTCAAGGGAAAATTTCTTCTGATTACTCCCTGCGGCATTTCGTCTTAATCTAAGCCCTTGAATTGCGCTTCACACACACACACAGAGACACACAGACAAATTGTACCTGTTAAAACCTTCTAGCTCTTATCTGGCGGCACCCTGATTAAATTTATTTTTCAACTTCACGGGCTGTGACGGCAGCTTATCAGCAATTATGTGCTTTTGATAAGCCACGGTAAATTATTGCCTTAATTCTAATGTTGGTTTTCATTGAATTTGCTCTGGGCGCTAAGCATATCCGAGTCGAGGAAGGCAACGCGCTTTCAACGCTTTTTGAATTCTAACTGATTAAAGTTTTTTTTTTTGTTGGCAATGCTGTACGTTTTACTCGGCAATTCACAGAATTACGTCATCAGCGTCCTACTTGAAACAGTAAATAGGTGTTGATGCGTTTTTCAATTTATCTATCTTGATGTTACACAACTTGCATCTCACTAGGGCGCTGCTATATCATGTTGCAATTTGGGGAATTATGAATTAATTCACCTGAGAGTTTTGAATCAATACATGGGAAAAATGCGGTTTCAGTCTCGCCGACAACATGGCGCTCCAAGTAACACAATGCGTACATGCGACAAATATTACTCACTGCGCCTATACAAAACTATAACTTTTCAATATTGGTAGACCACACTGGTACAGGTTTAAACACTATTATTATTTAATTATATTTTTTAAAATAATATATGCAATATTACTACGTAAACACACCTTTCGTCGGCTATTGCTGCAGTGTGACCAAACTAAGTTACCGTAATAACCCATAATTCTTGTTAGTGTGACAGCGTTTTATTATAAAAGCAGGTTGGCAGCACGACAGTAATCGATATATTGTGCATCGATACACCATTCATCGTAGCGGTCGCACGTGTTTACTTCGGTGTTTAAACTTTAAAAGATTCAAGTTGGAAATATATAAAAGTTGCTATAATGCCGCGCTCCAAACGTGATAAGAAAGGTACACAACAGGTCTGCCAATCATAACTAGTGCAACGTTATTAGCATTGTTTTTCTACTTGCAGTTTCTTTAACCAAAACCGACCGCAAGGGTCTGGCTTGGAAGCAGCGCATCATCGACGACATACGATTTTGTGTTGAAAAGTATCCCAATATATTCGTGTTCCAGGTGCAAAACATGCGTAATAATCTGCTTAAAGATCTGCGACAGGAATGGAAGCGCAACTCCCGTTTCATATTTGGCAAAAATCGCATTATGCAAATCGGTTTGGGACGCACAAAAGCCGAAGAAGTGGAGACGGGCATACACAAGGTTCGCACTTGGTTATATATGCAAATCTAACGGGCTTTAATTTAAAACACTTTTCAGCTTTCGAAACGCCTCACTGGACAGGTGGGTCTGTTGTTCACAGAAAAGACCAAAGAGGAAGTCCTGGAATGGGCCGAAAACTATTGGGCTGTAGAATATGCGCGCAGTGGATTTAAGGCCACAGAGACAGTGACTTTGCCCGCAGGACCTCTGGAGGAGTTTGCGCACTCAATGGAGCCGCATCTCCGTTCCCTCGGCCTGCCCACAAAACTGGAGAAAGGCGTGGTAACCATATACAGCGATTATACTGTGTGTGAAGAGGGCAAGGTGTTGACGCCGGAGCAGGCGCGCATTCTGAAATTGTTGGGCAAACCAATGGCAAAGTTTCGTTTGACTATGAAATGTTCCTGGACAAAGGCTGATGGATTTCAGCTGCATGTTGAGGACGATGTGGAGGAGGATAAAGCAACAGACAGCCCCATGGAAGAGGATGACAATGAAAATAATGATGAAGATGATGCTGCTGCTGCTAATGATGATGATGATGAGGAGTAATTAGCTAATATTTCAAATAGAAATTAAGTTATGAATATGTATATAATAATTATATATGTAGCTATTACAAGTTTTTGTAAACAACGCAATCTTGCTTACTTTCCGACCTAGGCCGATGAGAGATTGCCGCTGCCACTGCCCGCACCCTTCTTGGTGGGTCGATATGCAATCACATAACGTTGGGCCACTGGCAGAGGCTCTGCATAGCCATTCAAATAGGATGAATCCTCGAACAGCACCTCATACTCCTCGGTCGCTGTTTGCGGCAGGCGATGGACAATGGCTTTGTAGAAGCATGTCGTCTGTGGGTAAAGAGCCATCACTATAGATCGGGGAGATGATGGATTAGTCGATTGAATTGCAATAGTTCTTAAACCACGCACCGACTGTGTCCTTGGGGAAGAGCGCATGACCATCGGTCTCTGGATTGGCGCGCATTAATGGCAATGGTATGACTTTGCGCTTGCTGAGCACGTGACGATCCTTCTGCTCCTCGTCAATGTCAATGACATCGTATTTGTTCTGGCGATGCAGAAATTGCACCACCTCGGCCAATATCCAGTTCTCCTCCTCGTCGATGCCCTTCGCCAAGGCGGCAACATTGTCACCCACTTTGGCCACATAGTTGCTCTCCGCTGGTATGGCGCCGCACAGTGCTGGAGCGCGCTCGCCCGGCTTGCCCACGAACAGGGGCAACGTCTGGGCGGAAAGCTGCACCATTTTCATGAGGGCGCCGCGACGAATGGCCTCCTTGTTGCCAGCGTTGCGGGCCTGTGCAGATAGATGGCAATGTATACAATGTTAATCTTTATGGAGATTGAGGTATATGTAAAGAGTTGACTCACCTGTATGCGACGTTCATTTCGTATGTTTCTGATTTCATGTATTTTGGCCAGCGCCGCTCGAATTGTGGCCTCCTCCTGCGTAGCTTCCAGAATCTTGGCCTGGAGGAGCGTCTTTAGTTTCGGATTGGGCGTCTGACTCTGCTGGGCACGCACAAGGCTAGCAATTGAGCTCTCAGCACGTCGCCGTTCACTGTCCACTTTGTGGATATGTTGTTGTATATCCTTCAGGCGATCCTGGTGGGGTTTGAGAGCAAATAAGATAGGCTTATTATTAACGAAAAACTTGATATGTAGTTGTTGCCCACCTGAATCTGCTGCGCAGCACTCTCGGCAGTAAGTGGCATTGTGTTTCGACCGTTTATTAAATTTTGTTTATATTATTTGTGTATGTAAACTAAATGCTGCTCTTTTTGTTGTGTGGATGGTGGAATGATACATCAGCCTTTCTGTTGGTATTTTTATGTATGCGCAAATGTAAAATGAGCTAAAAATGCCCAGTTTTTATTTATAGCTACATTGCGAACACGACACACAAATTCACAATAGACACCATTCTACATAAATACTAGATAAGTATTTATATACTGCCGGTTTGCGTTTCCCATCGCTTGTGTTCGATAGGCTTATCGGGCGTCTATCGGCAGACTGCCGCACTTTAGGGTGAAAGCTGGGGAAAGTCGTTTTTAAACTTAGTGCTTGGCATTGTTTATATTAGAGCGAACATAAAATGTTTTCGGCAACGTGCGTGGCACCCGTGAATATGGCCCTGGTCAAATACTGGGGCAAACGGAACGAGGAACTGATACTGCCAATCAATGACTCCGTCAGCATGACGCTGGACGCAAACGAAATGTGTGCAAAGACCACAATAACCGCATCGGAGAGCTTCAAACAGAATCGTATGTGGCTGAACGGCGAGGTGGTGCCCTTCGAGGAGAACGCACGCCTCATGCGTTGCCTTGCGGGTGTACAGCGTCTGGCCCTAGCTAACGGTGCTCACAAATTGCCGCTTTCCTGGAAGCTGCACATCGCCTCGTACAATAATTTTCCCACTGCCGCGGGGCTAGCTTCGAGTGCTGCCGGCTACGCGTGCCTCGTCTACACGCTGGCCCGCCTCTACGAGCTACCCCTGAACGAGGAGCTGACCACAGTTGCCCGTCAGGGCAGCGGCTCGGCGTGCCGCAGCCTCTACGGCGGCTTTGTGCACTGGCGTCGCGGCTCGAGCGCCGATGGCAGCGATTCGATCGCTGTGCCGCTGGCGCCCGCTGGCCATTGGCCCAATATGCACATGCTCATATTGGTGGTCAACGATGCACGCAAGAAGACCGGCTCCACCAGGGGCATGCAGCTGGGCGTCAGCACCTCCTCGCTGATACAGCATCGCGCCAAGGAGGTTGTGCCTCGGCGTGTCAAGGAGCTGATGGCGGCAATTGACAGTCGCGACTTCCAGGCATTCGCTGAGATCACCATCAAGGAGTCCAATCAGCTGCACGCCATTTGCTTGGACACGTATCCGCCGTGCGTCTACATGAACGATGTCTCGCATGCGATTGTCAACTTTGTGCACGACTACAATGAGACGGTGGGCTCCTTGCAGGCCGCCTACACCTTTGATGCTGGCCCAAATGCTTGCATTTATGTGCTGGCCGAGAATGTGCCGCGTCTTTTGGCTGCCATCCAACTGGCCTTTCCCAATGATGCGCAGCAGAGCGTTGAGTACCTCAAGGGGATTCCCGTGCCGCCCGTCGAGCTAAAGAATGGGTTAAGGGACGCCTCCATCGGACATGTCAATCCCAATAATATGCTCAAGTACATAATCCACACGAAAATCGGCGAGGGTCCACACCAGCTAAGCGACGAAAAGAGTTTGTTAATTGACGGTTTCCCACTGCCCAAATAATATTTCTAATTAACTTAGACTCTTCCTAGATTCCGGGCTCAAAGTGCACGCTTGAAATAAGTTGCTAAAGGCTTAACTTAATTTATTTTTGACTATAACTAGAAAAATCTAGCCAGGTTCGGCAACTTTCATTTCTTTGTAGATATACTTACATAACATTTTTCTTTGTACTCATTTGTGCATTGTTTATTTCTTTATTGTTGGCACATTTTCAATTAACACTTCATTTTTTTCCATTCCTTTCTTGCTTTTGTTATTCAAATAAAGCTGCTCGCTTAACCTTTCGCGTTCCTGTGAATTTTAAAACTTGTAAGTTATTTATATGCATATATATCGCATATATCTTTAAGTAACAAATATTTTGTATTTATAATTTGTTGTTTCTTTTTTTTTTAAATTTAAATTTCACAATTCGTATTAGTTATTCATTGTGTACAAATGAAACGGACACCAGTGTGCGTCCAGTTCATAGAGATGGGAGCTGGCTCAGTTCCGTTATGTGCCTTAAGCATGCATTATGTGAACAGTGCTGCCAACTTTCAATAAGAAGCTGAATCTAAGCTAATAGCTGAACTGACGGCTAGATTTAGCTAGAAAATAGCTGAACTGGCAACACTGCTCGCAATGCTTGAACAGAATCGAAATAACTTGAATAAAACCAATAACAAATGGCAAAGGTGACAATAATCTTAGTCTTACGACATCTATGAATATCTCGAATTTGAATGAAATAATCCAAATGTCTAACAAAAACAATGTTCAACGTGAGTTGTATATTTTATAGTCGTAGTCATGTAGTAACTAATAAGACAACTTGCTCCAAAACAAATATTTGAAAATTAGAATTTTAGAATTTGTACAAGCCCTATCAATAATAGGGGTTAGATATAGTTATGAATGTTGCTTTCCAAAAACTGTTACTGAAATTTGTATGCAAAGAATAAAATTATAATTGTTTCTATCTGAAAAGTATTTATCTATTTCCCAATTAACATAAATCAAAAACTGAGGACATTAAATGGAGCTGGACAAACTGCCAAAGCTCCCGCACAGCTATTAAATTGTTCTTTAAATATTGTAAATATATATGTATATATATATTTGCTTAGAATCAACATATAGTAATACTTGATCTTAAAAATAGACATAAGGGTAACCGTATGTTTTTTTGTATGTACATCTAGAACTAAATAAAAAAAGCACTTTTCAAAAGCAATTAAAAGAACTGCGCAGCAAACAGGGCATTGCACTTTAGTATAATAGAAGCTTAGGCAAATATTAACGTTTTCTGTGTAAAAAAGGCACTACTAGCTAAATGGGCTGGGTTAGTCAGCCCGTGGACTCACTGCAGTCCGTCAAATGGTCGATTGCGTCAATTACAACATGATTAGTTGGGAGTGTGTCTAAATCGAAAGTATTCGATGATGCATTAAGTAAAAGTTCTAGCGATATCTCCTGCTCCAAGGCCACTGTGGACAACAGCACGACACCACTTTCCGCATCGACGGCTGTTTCGATGGTGTCTTCTAGTTCCTGATCTGGTTGGTCTTCCGTCTCGGCTTCAGTATCATTGTCGTCTGATATTAAACTGGACATGTACTGCTGCACAGTCTCCTCGGCGATAGCCCTATGTTATTTGCCCGCGAGCAGAGCGGCATTGGCAATTGCCTGTACGGTGCAGCCAGCTTCCACATGCTCCATAACTTGTTGCTTCAGCTGTGCCACATGATCCTTCAGGCTTTTCACAATGCCTGCCAAATCGGTATTCTCGCCCTTGAGTAATTTCACACGATCCTCCAGCTTCGATATGCGTTCCAGCTTCCGCTTGCGACATTTTGAGGCCGCGACACGATTCCGTTGACGCTTGCGCTCCAGTTTTATCTTTTCCTGATCTGCCATATCAATTGGACTAACCGTTGGGGAAGCGACCGGATGCTGTGGCTCATCCTTAATGACGGGGAAGCCCTCTACAAATTAAAATCAAACATTAGCCTGTCTTCTGTAATATAAAGCTAGACAGAACTCACCCACGCTGGTGTAGGTGAATGTGCCCCCACTTATGCCATTGTTCACGGCAGTCATGGTTGGGGCGGCAGCAACTGGATTGCTGGCAGCCGGGGCATTGCTGACATTGTTACCCAGAAACGCCTGCGTATTCTTGCTGGAGTGTAGGTTTTGGAGTGCCTCTTCGAATCCCTTGCCGAATTCCTCCTGCTCCGTGGTGATTTGACCCACCTTAGTGGGGAATACTGTGCCCGGCTGTGGCGTCTGCAGCATATTGCCCGATAGCAATATTTTCTCAAGGTCCGGAGTGTTTAGCGTTTTTCCAGGTACATCGGGCGAATCAATTAGAAGGGGTGCCATTGCGCGCTTGTTCTTCTTGTTGAGGTCCAGGAAAGCAGGACGCTTGCTAACGTTCGGAGTGGAGCTGCTGTTGGGTGTCTGAAATTCCATTGACTCCTCGGTCCCAATTGGTTCCGGCTCCGTTTTAGGTACTATAGGTGCAGCGGTCGCACTACTACTGTTTGTGTTGCTGGCAAGTGCAGCAGCGGAAGCGGCAGAAATTTTCATTTTCCTTCGAATATGACGTCAGGCTGATTACAAAAAGCGAGTAAAAAACAAAGCAAAAGCTTATGGGTCGCTGTTGTCGTGATAACTTGTTTTAGATGATGACTCATCGCTCCCTCTCAGCAGCCCGCACACAAACATCAAATACAACTACAAGCTCAACATGCGCACACGCACACACACATACACTCGTACACAACTAAACTTTTGTAGACTTTACTTACCTATTTCTAGCAAAATCTAATTCTGCCGGTGGCTGTAACTATTTTTCACAATATATATTACGTAAATTTGTGTTCTAAAGAATTTAATTTTAATATTATTTAAAACAACACGGCAATTGCGTTGTATTCTCTTGGTTTTACCATTCACAGTGGAGCACTTTTGATGTTGCCACATCTATTTAAAATATGAATCAGCTGATTATTCCAAATATCGATGGGCCCGATATAATGCAGTCGTAAATATCGATAGTGTCGCTTCTTCTTCCTCTTCTTTTCCGCTGAGCTGTCAAAAACGTAGGTCGCAATTGGAATAAATAACAATTTTAATTCAGCAAAAAAATGTATTTTGCTAAGCCATCGGCAACTCTGTCAATTAACAATGCAGAAAGAAAACTATTAATTGTGAACTATAATGAATATTTTCTGTTTTCATGTTGTGCCATCCGCTGACTGCTCGCCGACTTCTGCCGCTAAAACAGTTTGATAATTCGCAATGGCCAAGTCAAAGAATCACACAAATCACAATCAGAACAAGAAGGCCCATCGCAATGGCATCAAGCGCCCAATGCGCAAACGCCACGAGTCCACCCTGGGCGTAAGTTAAAATTTACCCTATTGAAGATTCCCAAAACTATAGCATACCCCATATTTCTCCACAGATGGACGTCAAGTTCTTGATCAACCAGCGTTATGCGCGTAGGGGTAACCTTTCCCGCGTGGAGGCAGTCAAGCGCTACGAGGAACGCGTTGCTGCCCAACAGGGTAAACCCAAGCCCGTTAAGTTGTAAATTCCCAACCGCATTCGATCTTGTTTTGAGTGCAAATCGTGTGTTAGAATAAAGGAAAGAAACATTTAACGATATGAGCCAATTTTGTTTATAATTCGTGATTTCCGGAATATGGACTATTATGTGGTTTCAGGAGCTTACGGCGATTTGTGAATATGAATAAATAAACGATTCTTTGGGGAATGGGGTCAGATATTGATAGGATCTATACTCGAGGCATAAAGAGGATCAGCTAAAATACATGGATTTTTAGTAAGATTAACCAATCATTCCACCTACACTTAATTATTTTGAAAAACCGGCTTCAATCAACAAGGTACAGCTTAGGCGATTTGCGAAATTGTTTATTTTGCCATGATAACCCCTAACAATTATTTTTATATCGATAATTTCTGGGGATACGCGCTTTACTTGACGCGTTTGGCATTACTATGCACGTTTTGACGTTTATCAGTCTGGCAACATTAGACTTTGCCAAGCAAACAATTCGGCGACTACCCAATTGTATGAAAATTCGTAAATGCTTCCGCCATTGTTTGTTGGGTAGCAAGCCGTAGCGAACGTAGAACTGTAGTTCGGTCGCTATATATGTAACTTAATTTAATAATAGTACACTTTATAATAGAGTGTGAATACATAGTTTCATAATTGTGTTTAATATACTAATTGCCAATTATGTAAACAGTGAAAATCTAATAGTTAAATTCAAATGCAAAGAGTGAAAGAATCATTTTTCGCGCAGTGTGCTGCGGATGCTTGGTGCTCGTCTATATGTACGTGAATATGTACATATATATTTTATTGTGTGTTCGTGACAGTTTATTTAATACATTTATAACCGACATAAGTAATTTTAACTGTTAAAGTGTTGATGCTATAAAAAATAGTCTACGAGCCAATGCAGGCACGAATATAATCTGTTTTATCGACGTTTCATTGTCGCACATAGAAAATCGCATACAGTGACACACGTGCGTATTTATATACAGACAAAACCCCATACATACATACCTAAGTACACACACACACACAGGGCAGCGCTCAGCTGTGCTCAGCTGTCGTTTGTTGTCAATGCGTCTGATCCTGCCAGACTGTTTTGTTTTTGCGCGGCATTTTTGTATAACGGTGTATCGTTCCTACGACAACAACAACAATTGATTGATTCAACCGGTGAGTGGCAACTCTCGTATATATATATATAAATATATGTGTACACATATACATAATTAAAGCAGACAATTAATTTGTTTATATCAACTTTTGTTTTCGCAGTAAATCGACCAAACTCTAGTTATTTATCATATGTACATTTTATTATTTATCTTGCGATTTGCCTCAATAATGCTTAGTAAGACATGAGCCCAGACAATTACCCGTAGCAAATATTCCGTAGTCACGTTTGTCTATTATCCACAATTGCAAAAAATTTTGCGCCGTCATGAGTTCGCATTAAATAAAGATGTGCTAATTTATTTAATAATATTGTCATTTGTGTGATAAATCAATTTGCTTGTCTGTAGATTGTCGTTAAAATACAAAAAAAAAAAAAATAGAAATTCGAATACATATTAAAAACTTGAAGATGAAGTACAGTTTTGCATAGTCTGAAAAATAACTACTTGATATTCAACTGAATACTTTTATTATGTTGATGGAAAGCAATCTAAAGTAGCCGTAAGAATGCTAAATTTTATTATTCTGAATGTTTTACATTTCAAGCTATTGAACACATGTTTTTCAAATTGAATATTTTTGTATACTTTTCAATTTTGATTTTACATATAAAAAGTTTATTTCGATTGCGAGTTCTTTCATCTGATCTGGTGATATCGTTATCATTCGTAAACAATTTATTTATCAGATATATTCTACTTAGAGAAATTGCAAACTATTTAATAGCCGGAAATAAATATAAATTAGTTCCGATTCTTGTGTGGGGCTCTATAATGTTCACAGGGGTTTCTTTGTTATCCGTCATAATTGAAATGAATATGTCTTAATGCCAGCGCACTTCAAGTAAGCGCACTTTATCTTCATTGTTTTTGTGCCATTCGTGTTTACCAACTGTTGGCACTGAGCTTATCATTGAGAGTGGGCGATAAGGAAGCTAGTTAAGCAGAGATATGTTCGGCATATATTTTATTGTATTATCAATCAGACGGCGCTTTGCCTTGTCAATGCATTGCAATGATGTGTGATTAATGCTCTTGGCAATATTTGGTCGATATTAAAGATCGTATATAAAATAAGCGTATTACAAGGGAGTTGTAAATGAAAATACTCTTCTTTGAAAACAGTTCGGTTACAATCAATTATCTTTAATCGCATTAAAGAAATTGATAACATTTTTTTTACTTTCAAGAACTTATTTACACAATTATTGAATTAGTACAATTTTTAAGAACTTGCAGGTGTGACGTATCTGAGTTTTATAACAATCGTTTTCATATAATGTAAATATACACATATAATTAAATTAAAACACAAACTTGCAAAGTTACACACAAAAATAATATTTATTTTGTTGTGCACACTTCACTTACTAGCAAATCATGAAGATATGAAGGGCCTATTTTAATTTATGCGAATCGCGTAGTAGAGCACCTTTAAAAAATACGATTTATTTAAATTTGCTGCACAATGGGAAGACAACTTCCAATGCATTTGGTGTACGAGAACCCACATGCAGACATACAGACATACATACATACATACACACACACATACATACATACATACATACATACATACATACATACATACATACACACACACATACACCCATACATACATACATACACACACGCATACATACAGACATACACACGTGCATACATACATACATACATGCATACATGCATACATGCATACATGCATACATAAAGGCATACACACGTGCTTACATGCATGCATGCATGCATACCGACATACATACATACATGCATGCATATGCATACATACACAAATCCATGCATACATAATTCTAAAATTCAATGCCTGTTTCACTTTTCGCTCTTTGGTAGTCTTCCAACAACTTATAGGGTATATTTTATTCAAGTACTCGCCAACACAGATCTAATAAATATCTTATCGTAATAATACGATCAAATTGATGTTAATTTGTCTGCTCACAAATGTTGAAATCAATAAATAAAATCAACTGCAGATCGCCTTTGGCTGAAAAGTTTTGCAGTTGCGTCCGAAAGTCTGAAAGCGTAGCAAATACTTTTAATATCCGCTGTACGCTGAATGTGACACAGTTTTCAAGTAATATATCAAGAGTTATAATGGTCAACGATTTGCCAGTTTATTCCATATCGCATTTTATGGAAACCCATTCGCTACACGAAGCAGCCGGCACATCTTTTTCGCAAGTAAGTCTCATTCCAAGTACAGCATCGAATTACTCAAATGAGTCAACAGTCAAACATTTGTACTCGATACTTAAAGCGTATGCATATCATGCATTGTGCAACAACAGCGCATGAAATGCTCTCTAATTTGTCTTTTAAAGTAAATGCAGTCAGGCGTATTTTATACAGTGTAAATAGATTAAAAATATGATTATATTCGATATTTTGAACCAGGTATCCACGCATCCATGGGGGGTATACATGTATATATTCTAGATCAAGGTGAAAGTTGATAAAAAAAAATGGGTGTAATCTTTATGTTGAACCAGCCACCTTCCCTGCCATAGGGTATACATACATACATATGTATGTATTCCGGAATATGATGTCTAGCTGAGAGTTTATTCATTTGATACTCTTCCTCATTTTTTAAATATCCAATAAATATCAAGATTAAGCCCAGGTTTTAGAAACGTATCATATCTCATATCATATCTTAGAGATTATCAAAGTTGAGGAGACCATATTTTGTGTGTACATATACATATGTTACCCTATACTGTACACAGATCAAGGGGCTTTTGCCCCTGCCTTAATTGAAGAACCTTTGTTCAGTCACTTTGTACTTAATAATAATAATATCAATACTACTATTGAAAGGGGAGTCTACAAAAGAGGGGCGGGGCGGCGGCTTTTATAATAGTAGACCAGTGCAAGTACTTCTTGCTGGTTCTAGTATTTTGTTTCTGTCTTGGCTATTCTCGGAATTGTTGACAGACCGACGGCAGACGAAGCACAAATATCGCTCAGATATTTTGCTTGGCAAGTTGTTTAAAAAAATTCTAGATTTTTAAATACATACATATGTACACATATAGTTGTGTATTTTTCGCTAACATTGTGGCGTTATTTCTTATGCAACAAGTAAGTTTAAGCACTTTTTTACGTTCCCGAAACCTGTCTTTATATAGTATATAAAATTGTTTGTGCTGCTTGACCGATTTACGGGCGGGTGATTAACGCTCAGCACAAAATGTAAAAACTAGAACATTTACAAGTAGTTAACAAACGTACGCTCTTTCGTATGAAAAGTGCAGGGAGAAGTTTGTGTGGGAGAAGTTTTAAATTTACCATCGGCTGAAGAAGAAGAACTCAGGTGTTTTGAGAAAATCTTTTATGTAAACAGCTTTGATGGCGATTAAGTTATTGTATAAATTTCGACTAAAGTATAGTCAATTTCATAGCTTTTCTTTGCACATATTTAAAATATCTGCGCCACAAAGTATGCTTCAGTTATAATCTGCGCAAGCTAACACTTCCATTCATAAAGTAACAATCGTTTAGGGCTAATAAATCAGGTGTAATCAGTTAATAGCCTTACATACCCTTCGTCCCTTCGAGTCCATAGAGTATATGTATTCTTGATCAGGATGATGAGCTGTTGATCGATATAATCAGCGTGTGTCTGTCCTATTGATGAATTTTTCAGATGAAAATATCCAGCTCATGCAACTGGAAGAGAAATTTTATCAGTATATTGTCTTATTGTCATATATGACAGTCCCTGTCATATGTATGCATACACATATACCTTTATTAATAGTCTTTCATTATAAACATTAGATCGTCGTTCGAAATATGTCCCCATTTAAAGGTGAGTTTTGTTTTCCAGACAGGTGGGGTTTGTTCGGAGAGTGTATTGCGAAAAGAGTATACCGCAGTCGGTTGAACAGCAACGATTTTTAGTTGGTCGTGAAAATGAGTCGAGTAAATACCTTTCAGGGTCATTTCACGTTTTCCATTCTTAACACTGTGCTATAATACTTAATATAATACGGGGAAATGTGCAGTCTAATGCATACGTTAGTTTAAACATAGCTATGTACATATTTAATGTACTTTATGTACATATAAAAGGCTTTTCTCTATGTGTGTGTGTGTGTGTGTGTGTGTGCTTTAGAATGTCAGACAGGCGACCGGCGTGCTTATCAGTCAACGAGATGAGACTCATATTAAAGAATACTGTAAACCACAAAGTGTACAGATAGGGAAAGAGACAAAGAGTGAGAGAATGCGAGAGAGTTTACTTTCTGATGTTGTGAGTAATTTGGATGTTCCTTTCCCCCCGTTCCACAAATGACAACACTTATTACGATAACCAAATACAAATACAAATACAAATTTAGTAGCCGTTGTCATTGCTCATTTTTGGCGCTAGCGATTAGTGTGTGTGTGTGTGGTCCGCAGTTGTGTAGAAGCGCCGTTAATGTTGCGCTAAATTGTTGTATTTTATCAGAAAAAAACAAGTAACAATGATCTAGCCTAGAATTATTTTCGACTAACATACACCCTGTAAACAGTTTTGTTTTGGGTATATTAATGCGCTTCAATTGAATAAAATTGATAAATATTTTTACTCAAAATATATAAAACTTCATTATATTACAAATATTTGAAATGAGTTTTTCCTTTATATAAAGAACTGATTTTATGTTCAAGTTTTCCAATATTGCATGAAAACTTATTATAAATACACACAAATGCCTTACTCCATGCTGTCGAAAATAAATTCTCGCGATGTAGACGGAAAAAAAGGTAGCCTTAATATTTATAAATTGATATGATATGAGAGAACGCAATTAGGACCTTTATAGACTTTAAGAAACCTAGACTAGAAATTTGTTGTTAAGATTAGAGAACTTTATAAGTTGATTGGTCAATGTAATTCTTACCTTTGTTTTTTTAAGCTTATCATACCCTTGTAGAAAATACTCCAGTTACAGGGTATATAAGAGTGAGCAGATTGCCAGGCAGCAC